TCAGGTCTCTGCACTGGCTTCCTGTGAAGAATAGACTTCAAAGAAGCAAGCAGCTTCAAAAGTCTCTCCAAGGGCTGGCACCAAGTCAGACTCTGAGGAGCACAGGGACTGGCCTCCTGCTGGGACCCTGAGGAGCACAGGGACTGGCCTCCTGCTGGGACTCTGAGGAGCACAGGGACTGGCCTCCTGCTGGGACCCTGAGGAGCACAGGGACTGGCCTCCTGCTGGGACTCTGAGGAGCACAGGGACTGGCCTCCTGCTGGGACCCTGAGGAGCACAGGGACTGGCCTCCTGCTGGGACTCTGAGGAGCACAGGGACTGGCCTCCTGCTGGGACTCTGAGGGGCAAAGGGACTGGCCTCCTGCTGGGACTCTGAGTCAGGACTAAACATGGGAAGGCAGTATTTCAAATGTATTCCGCTAAAATCTGGAACAGTATTCCTGGAAATGTGAGACTTGCTTCTACTCTTAAAGGAATAGTTCACCGTTTTTACATACTGACAAATGTTCTTACCTTACCTTAGACTAGTTAATATGTACCTGTCTGGTCTTAGTCCGTGCGCTCTGTCATGCAAACGGAGCAAAAACGGGAGCACAACCGCAGCCTCCTCTGTATATTTTGTAGCACCAAAAGGTAGCTCCCGCTAGAAGCTACCAAACTCTTCCAAGTGTTTCCTATTAAATGTATATAGTTACGTGACGTGTTACACTGCAAAGTATAGTAACACAGAAATGTAACAGTTGATTTTCTCAGCGGATAAAACGGGTACTATATTGTGAGGCGTAGTAATCTGAGGGGCGCTACGTCCGCGCACTAACTTCTCTCCGTACTACAAGTCACGCTGCTTCTATTGACGGAAGTGAGCGAGAGAGAAGTCTCCGGAGAGAAGTTAGTGCGCGGACGTAGCGCTCCTCAGATTACTACGCCTCACAATATAGTACCCGTTTTATCCGCTGAGAAAATCGACTGTTACATTTCTGTGTTACTATACTTTGCAGTGTAACACGTCACGTAACTATATACATTTAATAGGGAACACTTGGAAGAGTTTGGTAGCTTCTAGCGGGAGCTACCTTTTGGTGCTACAAAATATACAGAGGAGGGTGCGGTTGTGCTCCCGTTTTTGCTCCGTTTGCATGACAGAGCGCACGGACTAAGACCAGACAGGTACGTATTAACTAGTCTAAGGTAAGGTAAGAACATTTGTCAGTATGTAAAAACGGTGAACTATTCCTTTAAAATGTTCATATTCAGGTTAAAAAAAACAATTCTGTTTCACTACATCAAGTGAAGGATTGTATTGTCACTCTTTGTATTGTTGTACTGTGATTATTTATGATCTTGTTTTTGTTTTTTGCCTGGCCTTAAATACAATCACCATATTGAGTTAGTCGCTTTTACATTGCCAGGGGAGTCATTTTGTTAACAAATGCAGAAATTATACTGAATCTCTATTTTGAGTTCTTTGCAAGATTCAACAGATCGGGTCTGATCGGGTCTCATCTGGTCCGGTCTTATCTTGTCCGGTCTCACACGTCCACTATCTCCTCTACGCGCTGGACTTTCAGTGTCTGTGCGAAATCAAAGAGCATTAAACATTAAATAAGTCTCCACAGCAGAGGAGGGAAACTAGGCCAGTGAGGGCAGTGACCGGGACCAAAGACAACAACAGAAGTCTTACCTACAGTAAAGAGGTTAAAGAGAGAGATCACGGAGACCAGAGAGAGAGCAGAGAGAGAGAGAACAGAAAGAGTGACCAGAGAGGGAGACCAGAGATACATCAGAAAGAGAGAACATAGAGAGAGGCCATAGAGAGAGACCAGAGAGAGACCAAAGAGATAGAGACCAGAGATAGGGACTAGGAATTGGCCAGAGAGAGACCAGAGAGAGAGACCAGAGAGAGGGACCAGAGAGAGAGACCAGAGAGAGGGACCAGAGAGAGAGACCAGAGAGAGAGACCAGAGAGAGGGACCAGAGAGAGAGACCAGAGAGAGGGACCAGAGAGAGAGACCAGAGAGAGGGACCAGAGAGAGAGACCAGAGAGAGGGACCAGAGAGAGAGACCAGAGAGAGGGACCAGAGAGAGAGACCAGAGAGAGAGACCAGAGAGAGGGACCAGAGAGAGAGACCAGAGAGAGGGACCAGAGAGAGAGACCAGAGAGAGGGACCAGAGAGAGAGACCAGAGAGAGGGACCAGAGAGAGGGACCAGAGAGAGAGACCAGAGAGAGGGACCAGAGAGAGAGACCAGAGAGAGAGACCAGAGAGAGGGACCAGAGAGAGAGACCAGAGAGAGGGACCAGAGAGAGAGACCAGAGAGAGGGACCAGAGAGAGAGACCAGAGTGGGACCAGAGGGACCAGAGAGACCAGAGTGGGACCAGAAAGGGATCTGAGAGACACCAGAGGGAGAGAGACCAGATAGGGATCAGAGAGGACCCAGACAGAGATCAGAGAGAGAAAGAAAGAAGAGACATGCAGGCAAAATCAGAGGGACCAGAGAGAAACTAGAAAAAGAGAGGCAAAATCAACCTTCCATTAAATCATAGTGGTTTGTTTCTACAGCAGAATAAAACCACCCAAACGCCGCTCCACCAGGGAATGGTTTTAGGACCGAGCTAACTAAGTTAATTCATGTCTGAAAAAAGTCCTGGCTGGCTCACTGGATTGCACTCGACTGTAGACTATTTAGAATGGTAGAAGATGAGGGCCTCAACATTTATTTGGTTGAACAAAAAAATAATTGTGAAAAACATGTGTTGATATACACTACTCATATTACTACTACTACTACTACTGCTACTACTGCTGCTACTACCACTACAACTCCTCCTCCTCCTCTTCAGTCCCCCATAGTACTGTCCTGTTGGTCACATGGCTCACACTCAGAGCAGAGGGATTGACTCAGCTAAAAGCCGGAGCACACGTGGCCCGCGCTGTTACTATGCAGACTATAGAGAGAGACAGAGCTTCACGGGCAGAACGTGCAACATCACACATTCAAACTCACTCCAAGAGGCAAATCCACCACCACACCATCACCATTGCTCTGGGAAAACCAAACATATGCAAACCTGAAATCCAGAAACTGAAACACAAGGATAGATATGAAGAGAGACACTTTTCCCCTGAGATTTGGGAACAAGAAAGGAATATGTTTTTAACTATACTCAAATCTTCACTTTTACATTATTTTTATTATTATATCTGCACTGTAAGCTATGCAGGGCAGGACCTGTGGTTTGAGTTGTCAGATCAACTGACTCACAGGTTTCCCAGTCCTAGATCTACAGCCTCAGTCCTGGATCTACAGCCTCAGTCCTAGATCTACAGCCTCAGTCCTGGATCTACAGCCTCAGTCCTGGATCTACAGCCTCAGTCCTGATGTTAATAAATGTGCAGAAATCTGCACATTTATTAACATTTCTGGAAAATGGTCCAGAAACAACAGTTCAGTTCAATCTCTCGTTTTCACATGAATTTTTTCTTTCTGTCACATCTTTAAATTTACAAGTGTAAAGAGAGGACTACTCAGCCAATCAGCTCTCAGCCCAAAAAGTTGAATAGTGACTCACAGAGCTCTTTCTTCCAAGTATGAAACAGATTTTTTTCTAAAGCTTTTTTCTGAGGCGCAGCAGAACAGGGCCTAATCTTGTGAGAACACCAGGTTCCACCGTGTGGCTGTCAGTGTGACCCAGGGCAGCTGTGGCTACATAGTAGTTTGTCCACCACCATGTGTGGATTAAAGCATCTTTGAAAGTCCAGAAAAGGACTGTATTTAACTGCAATATAAAAATATATTATTATTATCATTATTATTATTACAAGGTTGACAACAGGTTGTGATGTGATTTGTTAACAACATTTGACATTTAAGCCTCTTGCTTTTACAAGTAAAATGTAATGCCTCAGCTTTAACCTCACCAGCCAACAGGCCGAAGCATGACGTGTCTTCTTTAAAACGGTCATAAACAACAATGAGTCCTTTGGCAGTTTTCAGAGACAGTACTTTGTTTGGGCCTGAAGGAGCAGCTGCTGGGACCATCTGAGCGCTCCCACACTCCAGCATATTGACCGCCTCAGTCTCCAAACACTCCCCCAGGATCTGAGCGCTGCGTCAGCCAATCAGATCGCAGCATGTTTGCACACACCGAGGTATCGCTTCCCCAGTACGCAGACTGCCACTGCTGCCGGCGCGGAGAGACCTGCGAGTAATAATACATCTACGTTTGGTGCGCGTCCAAAACCCACGTGCTGTTAGCCTGTCTGACCGGGGAAGCTGTTCAAAAGCCGTCTCAAGGGACTGGAACTATTGACAAAGACACAGGATTATCCAAGAAGTTTCATTCACAAGCTTGTATTTTATGGTCAAAAGAGTGATATAAACAAAACAAATGTTCCACTATCTTAGCAGAGACTGGGCGCCTCTCAATGCACACTTCCTCCAGCTCATCTGGGGTAATCCTGAGGCGTTCCCAGGCCAGCAGTGTGTCCTGGGTCTTGCCCTGGTCTCCTCCCAGTGGGAAATGCCCAGAACACCTACCCAGAGAGGCGTCCAGGAGGAATCCCAAACAGATGCCTGAGCCACTTCCACTTGGTCCTCTTGATGCAGAGAAGCAGCGGCTCTACCCCAGGCTCCTTGTGTGTGACTGAGCTCCTCTATAATAATAATAATAATACATTGGTTTTATATCGCGCGTTTCAAGAACTCAAAGATGCTTCACAGTTCAGGACACACAACTACAAGTTTGGTGATTACCAAAAGCTCATGACCAAAGGTGAGGGAGGGGACGTAGACTGCGCAGTAAGTCAAGAGCTCTGACTGCAGACACTACTCCCTCTTCACCACAACAGTCAGTCTTACACTCATTCTTTCCCTCAGTCGTGAACAAGACCTGAGAGACTTGAACTCCTCTTGGGGAAGGACCTCATTCAAAGATGTCACTCATTATTACATTATTACAATTTATGACAGATCTCTGTTCAGTTGTAACTGTGGTCAAACATGTGCAGCGCTGCCTTTCACAGCTCTTTCAGCACTCGGCAAATTCTCACCATCAACACTGACCACGAGGTCACACACCTCCCACTGTGGTGAGCCCCATCAGCTATCAGCTAAAAACAGCCAGTCTCTCTCTGGTCTCTCTCTGGTCTCTCCTTGGTCTCTCTCTGGTCTCTCCTTGGTCTCTCTTCCTGGTCTCTCTCAGGTCTCTCTCCTCGGTCTCTCTCTCTCTCTCTGCTCACTCTCTGGTCTCTCTCTGGTCTCTCCCTGGTCTATTTGTGGTCACTGTTTGGCCTCTCATTTGTCTCTCTCTCTCATCTTTTCATTGGCCACTCTGGTCTCTCTCTTTCTGGTCTCTCTTTGGTCTCTGTCTGGTCTATCTGGTATCTCTCTGGTCTTTCTATTACTTAAACCTGGAGTACCATACTTTCAAACCACAACGTAATGAAATAAAATGCATGTAACAAGTTCCTCCCTCCCAAACAGTTGGTTCCATAATTAGTCCACACAGAAATGTGAAAATTGGGCTCTCTTTGATCTCTCTCAGGTCTCCCAATGGTCTCTCTCTAGTCTCTCTCTGCTCTCTCCGGTCTCTCTGTGGTCTCTTTGGTCGCTCTCTGATCTCTTCCTGGTCTCTATCTGGTCTCTCATTCTGATCTCTCTCTGGCCTCTCTCTGGCCTCTTTGGTCTCTCCCTAGTCACTCTGGTCTCTCTCTGGTCTCTCTCTGGTCTCTCTCTGGTCTATCTCTGGTCTATCTCTGGTCTATCTCTGGTCTCTCTCCGGTCTCTCTCTGGTCTCTCTCTCTGGTCTCTCCCTGGACTCCCTCAGGTCTCTCACATACATGTATTTTTAGCCTCAGTCACATCTTTAGATCAGAAAGAAAAATATCATCACTAATACGGCCCTCAGCTCTCAGCCCAAAGCGTCACACAGTGAGTCTCAGGTCTTTCTCACTAGCACTTTTGTGAAACAATCATAAAAAAGGTCAGTCTGTAAAAATACCAGTGTAGTTCTCCACCAGCTCTTACTATGGCTCAATACGACCAGTGCAGCCGGACGATAAATCAGGAGTCTTTGGTTCATTAGCGTGAGACAGTGGGGGAGACAGTGGGGGAGACAGTGGGGCATTCAGCACACCGCCCGGATCTGGGTCAAAGCAGTTTCACAAGACAACAGCATGCCATCCACTAGCTCACACAGGCTGCAAAGAGATGTTTTCATCGGAGGTGTGAAGATGGATAAAGGAGAGGGTTGGCTCGAGTCTCTGCATAGTTCCTCGCTCCCAGTTCGGTTTTCATGTATTTTTGGCCTCTGTCACATCTTTTCGATCTCTATTTTTGCTCTGATCTCGCTCTGTCTGTCTTTCTCTCTCTCTGGTCTCTTTTTGGTCTCTTTCTAGTCTCTCCCTTGTCTCTCTCTGGTCTCTCTCTGGTCTCTCCCTGGTCTCTCCCTGGTCTCTCCCTGGTCTCTCTTAGGTCTCTCTCAGGTCTCTCTCAGGTCTGGTCTCTCTCTCTGGTATCTTTTTGGTCTCTTTCTAGTCTCTCCCTGGTCTCTCCCTGGTCTCTCTCTGGTCTCTCTCAGGTCTCTCCCTGGTCTCTCCCTGGTCTCTCTCAGGTCTCTCTCAGGTCTCTCTCAGGTCTCTCTCAGGTCTCTCTCTGGTCTCTATCTGCTCTCTGATCTCTCTTTCTAGTCTTTGAATAGGGTTCTGGGCAAATTAATATCTATTCTGGACCATGGCTGTCACCCCCTGTAGGACACTGTCTGGTCTGGAGGAGAGCAACTTCAGTGACAGACTGATCCACCCAGGTGATGTGAATGAAGGAGAAGGTCCACAGCTCTTTCCTTCCTGCTGCTGTCAAACTGTACAACGAGTACAGTGTTCTCCCCGAGGCTGTGCAGTGAGTCTGAGTTTCTCCAGGTGCTCCGGTTTCTCCTACCACTAAAAACAAAAACTCTCAGCTCTCGGCCCAAAGTGTCAAATAAGTAACTCACAGGTGCTCTTTGTCACAGGTATGCAAAAGATAACATGTTTTCTTTTTACTGTGACTTTTGCAAGACTCTTTCTGTCGGGACGAACAACATGTATTATTTATGACAAAAATGTTGGTACCCCAGCGTTAAGAATAAACCGTAAATAAGTACCTCAGACTCTGAGGAGCACAGGGACTGGCCTCCTGCCGGGACCCTGAGGAGCACCACTATAGTCTCTTTTTATTGCGCTGTGATCATTTACAATTCTCATGCCTTGTGTGTGATTTTTCCATTCCTTTTTTCAGCACTTTAAGTTTCCTTGTGTATGAACCGTGCTATACAAATAAACTTGCCTTGCCTATGGGGGAAAGTCCACTTAGAAGACATTTCAGCACAAGCTTCTCCTGGTGACTGATGGACCAGATGTAAAGCAGGCGTCGACATCCCAATCACAACGATACTTGAAAAGCAATATATAGTCGTCTCCTTTTTATTGATAAGACCCACTTTGAGTCACTCATAGTTTGATAAAGGTTCGACTGAGATTTTCTGTGTCTGAGCACAAACGGATACCGGATTTTATGCCATTTTATACAATTTCAGTTTAGAAAAGTTTTCAAACTGAGAAAATGCATGATGAAACAAGTATGAAGGATAAATAATGATATTGGCCTGTAACTCCCACTGCTGCCACCAGAGGGAGACCAGGGAGGCGTCCAAACCTCTGCTCAAACAGTAGAATCTCTCTCTCTCTCTCCTCTCTCTCTCTCTCTCTCCTCTCCCTCTCCTCCCTCTCCTCTCCTCCTCCCTCTGTCCTCTCCTCTCCTCCTCCCTCTCCTCTCCTCCTGTCCTCTCCTCCTCCTCTACTGTCCTCTCCTCCTCCCTCTCCTCTCCTCCTCCCTCTCCTCTCCTCCTCCTCTACTGTCCTCTCCTCCTCCCTCTCCTCCTCCCTCTCCTCTCCTCCTCCTCCCTCTCCTCTCCTCCTCCCTCTCCTCTCCTCCTCCCTCTCCTCTCCTCCTCCTCTAGTGTACTCTCCTCCTCCCTCTCCTCCTCCCTCTCCTCTCCTCCTCCTCCTACTATCCTCTCCTCCTCCCTCTCCTCTCCTCCTCCCTCTCCTCTCCTCCTCCCTCTCCTCTCCTCCTCCTCTACTGTCCTCTCCTCCTCCCTCTCCTCCTCCCTCTCCTCTCCTCCTCTACTATCCTCTCCTCCTCTCTCTCTCTCTCCTCCTCCTCCTCCCTCTCCTCTCCTCCTCCCTCTCCTCTCCTCCTCCTCTCTCTCTCCTCTCCTCCCTGTCCTCTCCTCCTCCCTCTACTATCCTCTCCTCCTCTCTCTTCTCTCCTCTCCTCCTCCCTGTCCTCTCCTCCTCCCTCTACTATCCTCTCCTCCTCTCTCTTCTCTCCTCTCCTCCTCCCTGTCCTCTCCTCCTCCCTCTACTATCCTCTCCTCGTCTCTCTTCTCTCCTCTCCTTCTCCCTCTCCTCTCCTCCTCCCTCTTCTCTCCTCTCCTCCTCCCTGTCCTCTCCTCCTCCCTCTACTATCCTCTCCTCCTCCCTCTTCTCTCCTCTCCTCCTCCCTGTCCTCTCCTCCTCCCTGTACTATCCTCTCCTCCTCTCTCTTCTCTCCTCTCCTCCTCCCTCTCCTCTCCTCCTCCCTCTCTTCTCCTCCACCCTCTTCCCTCCTATCCTCCTTCTAATGTCCTCTCCTCCTCCCTCTACTGTCCTCTCCTCCTCCTGCTCCTCTACTTTCCTCCTCCCTCTCCTCTCCTCTCCTCCTCCCTCTCCTCTCCTCCTCCCTCTCCTCTCCTCCTCCCTCTCCTCTCCCCTCCCCTACCACTGCTCTGGACCACACTTCACTTTAAAAAAAAAACACACTGTGGATACTACTTTAACCACACTTTTGAACAGGACTGAAAAGTAAATTCAAAAATACAAAATGCATTTATAAGAAATTGATTGAAAGGATGTTGACAAAGCTCAATAATCATAAAAATGACAAGATTTAGCACTGCCACAGTCTCAGCACCAACGGGTCAGGTCATGTATTGATATTGGTTGGAACTAAACTTAACGCAGAAGAAAGCACTATCGATCTCCGGAGCAGAACAGAGTGATCAATACTCAGGACATTGTATAAACTTGTTTTGGATTTGTGTCACAGAATTCCATATATGGTGCTAATGTTGCTGGTGAGATGGTTGTTAGTCATTCAGCCAACATCAGCTCAGCTCTCCTCTCTCACCTCATCTCATCTCTCTAATCTCTCTATCACCTCTCTCTTCTCCTCACCACTCTCTTCTCACCTCTCACGTCTCCTCTCTCCACTCCTCGCTCTTCTCTCTCTCCTCACTCTTCTCATATCTCCTCCTTCTCTCCCTTTCTCTCTCTCCTCACTCTTCTCATATCTCCTCCTTCTCTCCCTTTCTCTCTCTCCTCACTCCACCAATCTCTCCCGCCCTCTCTCCTAACCCTTCTATTCTCTCCTCCTCTCTCTTCTCTACTTTCTCCCCTCCTCTCTCTTCTCACACCTCTAATCTCTCCCCCTCTCTCCTAACTCTTCTCCTCTCTCCTCCTCTCTCTCCTCTCTCCCCCGCTCTCTCTCCTCACCTCACCTCCCTCCTCTCCTCTCTCACCTCTTCTATTGTCATATTAAAGCCCAAAACAGTCTGAATCCAGTTTGTCCAGGCTGTCGGCCCCTGGACAGACCCGCAGAACTAAAGAGGTCCTCTTACTAAAAAGTCTGGACACCCCTACGCCTTTGTGAACTCCTCACTTTTAACCACGATGCAGTAAAGTAACATTATTTCTCACCGATTTCATCACTGGAATACTGAGACTTGTTCAAACTTTAGACACAGGTGTTAGTGGCCCCATGAGTGGTTTTCAGCGGTCATGATTCACTTGCTGCATTGATGGTTATATGTTACTATGGCAACCCAAGGCCTGTTGTGCCTCGCTTTAAAGCAAAATTTCTCATGGGAAACATTGTTATGGAATGAATTCTAAAATTTTAAATTCAGTATTCAATTAGACAGTTTAAAACAAATCAGTCTACAATTACAATCTATCCTCTATCTCTTAATCCTCTCTGCCCTCTTCTCCTCTCCTCTCTCTTCTCATCTCTCTCCTCTCATCTACTTCCTCTCCTCACCTCTACTTCTCTCTCCTCTTTTCACTTTCGATCCAGTTTTGGTTCAATCAAAATTAACTGCAGCCGATCTTATTTTGTTTAGAAGAATCCACCTGAAAATAAGATCCAAACCAATATTATACAAAACTTTTTTATTTTTAATTTTTATATGTTCATAATAGAAAATATTATAAAGTTTTGGTCCCTAGCCCACTGTTGAGACCTGACGAGAACCAGGAAGTCCTCTCACATAGTTTTGATCTCAGGTCTCTGTCCTGGCGTCCTGTGGCTCCCTTTAAAGCAAGTCTCTCCATGGCCTCGCATCAAGGTACATCTGTGACATGTTTGTGCCATTTGAACCAACTCGGAGTATGAGGAGCACAGGGACTGGCCTCCTGCTGGGACTCTGAGGAGCACAGGGACTGGCCTCCTGCTGGGACTCTGAGGAGCACAGGGACTGGCCTCCTGCTGAGACTCAGAGGAGCACAGTCTCTGACCTCCTACTGGTGCCTGGAGTCAGCATGGGGAGGGAGTGTTTCAGATTTATTCAACTAAAATCTGGAACAGTCTTCCTGAAAATGTGAGACTGGCTTCTACTCTCACGCTGATCAAATTCAGGTAAAAAAAAAGAAAAGAGTTTGACTTTGCTGCAACAACTGAAGGATTTTATCTTTGCTTTTTTTAACGCACTGTGATTATTTATGATTTGAATGCCGTGTGGGATTGTTTCTTGTTTTGTTCAGCACTTTGAGTTCCCTTGTGCTATACAGACAAACCTTCCTCGTCTCTATGAAAACAAAAGGAGTTATGAAAGCCTTGTTTAAGCATTCAACCAATCACCATTCTGGTCAGACACATATTGAGGCAAAAACATCTCAAACAAAATCAACGCCTCTATTAATAAATCCCATAATAATCTTAGAGTAAAGCCTCATCCATATTGTTGCTTGTGCATAATTAACACATACAGCTGAATTCACCGCGTCCGTCCTCAAACCAATGTCCTTTTTTCGCTCGAATCCCGCGAAGTCCACGATCGCGGTGTGAATGCCTCATGAGGGCGAACGCAAATCAGGTGAAATGCACGCGTTAAAAGCCTTCACTGCAGAGGACATAAATAATAGGTGGAAGGCTTCTTTCCCCCATCGTATACACACACACACACACACACACACACACACACACACAACATGCACACACACGGATCCCATATAACGAGCGGAGAGACTGCAACAAGGACCGCTGTGTTCATTATTGATGCTGTTCGGGAATGTAAAGGGTGGGTTTTTTTGCGCGCGGGAACAGAGACGTGCAAAAAAAAATTAAAAAACAAGGCACAGGCATCAAACCTCAACCTCCCCTTTAAACAACAAACCAAGGCAATTAATGTTCTTTCGCATGGTATAGGCCTGAACAGAGATTGCACCTTCAGAAACGGTGTTGGCAGGTGTGACTGTATCCATGCCATAGTCCCCGCAGTACTGAACCATAAATTGAAGATGTGGAGCTTGATGCAGCGGCAAAACACACGCCCCAACACCGACGCGAGCGCAAAAGGTTCACCCCCAACATCCAGCATCCATCCTCCCACCCCCCCACATCGCTCCATTTTGACGCCACTCTAGACTCGGCTGAATGAAACATATAAGCAGAGATTTGCAGGTGATTCGCGCCTCACCAGGAACACATGTAGAATATGAATGATGCTGAGGAGAGAGGAGGGGGGGGAGGAGGGGGAGACACTCGCATGACAGGTGTATGGGCACGGGGGATGCTCTGTGGAATTAGCCAAGGTCCTGTACTTACGCACTGCCTCCTTCTTGGGGTCGAGGGCACTGGCAGTCTGCTGGATCTGGCCTATCCTGCCCTGGAGCGCCCAAACCCGCTGGTTGGTGCTGACGATGTCGTTCTCCAGCTCTTGGAATAGAGAGCAGGCGTGACGGGCCAGGTCGGACAGCTGTCGCAAGGTCCGCGACAGCACCACGTTGCTGATGGCACACAGGTCCCCCAGCAGCGCGTCGTCCTCGTCGCTGATCTGGAGCCTGCACAGAAGCTGAGGCTCGACTATGCGTTTGGCGAGAGGCATTTTGTGTACAAAGATAAACCGGGTGCGAAGTCCCAACGCCTGAGAAAACAGCGAAGGGCGAAAGAGACAACATCCAAATGCGTAAATCCACCACCCGTGCTCGCGTCCACGGGCGTCAATCCAAAGTTCCCATCTTCTCCGTGAGAGGCTCCATCCCCGCGGGGCCAGACGCGCGGCTGGGAGTCGGGGGCTGCTGCGCGGTCGCTCTGGTGTGGACGCGTTCGTGGCTTTTCATTCACGCTCCCTCTCACACACACGCGGCTCAGGCACACACATGCGGGACGTGGTCAGTGGCGTGAGGATGCGTGCGTGGAGTCTGGGATCAGCCTCCGAGAGACGTCAAGCCGCGGGGACGCACACGCACGGCGGAACAGAGGAGCGCGTCTACCACAATAAAAGCATGAGTTATGATGATAATGGTAATACATCTGTATTTGTGGAGCACTTTTTAAAAATGATGTTGACAAAGTCTGCATAAAACAATACAAGTACATAAAAACACAATTGTTATTATAATATACAATAAGATAAAAAGATAACATATATATTAATTTTATAGATATATATATATTTGGAAGAAATCAGAAGAAGGCACGCAACAAGAAATCCAGAAGGAGAGGCAGACCAAAGAGAGAGACTATAGACCAGAGAGAGACCAGAGCGAGAGAGAGACCAGATACGGAGCAAAGAGAGAGACTATAGGCCAGAGAGAGAGACCAGAGACAGATCAAAGAGAGAGACCAGAGAGAGACAATGAGAGAGAGACGGTGGGACATCTTTAACAGATAAAAAACTTTTACAATAATTGATGAAGAGTAGGATACTTGAAAAGCACAGACTCCCCTTAGTTTTTTATTTACTCATATTTTCCTCTCATGTGTTATTGATTCATAATTTTTCGTTTCTTATCTTAAACACTGATGTCGGGGGTAAGTTCCACTAATGAGACAGAATCTCGCCTTGAACGTGAGTTGTTGGGTAGATCTGAAACAGGAGCGCTCTCATCTTGTCTTTTATTTTGGAGCCTGCTTCTGTAACTCCCGCCCGTGCCCTGCGCATACTCCCGGGCTGAGGTGGAGACAGGCGGAGGAGGGCTGGAGCTAGAGCTGGAAACATCAGAGAGACCAGGGAGAGACCAGAGGGACCAGTGAGATAGAGAGAGACCGGAGAGACCAGAGACCAGGGAGAGACCAGGGAGAGACCAGAGGGAGACCAGAGGGACCAGAGAGCTACCAGAGAAAGACCAGAGGGACCAGAGAGATACCAGAGAAAGACCAGAGGGACCAGTGAGATAGAGAGAGACCGGAGAGACCAGAGACCAGGGAGAGACCAGGGAGAGACCAGGGAGAGACCAGGGAGAGACCAGAGGGACCAGAGAGCTACCAGAGAAAGACCAGAGGGACCAGAGAGATACCAGAGAAAGACCAGAGGGATACCAGAGAAAGACCAGAGGGACCAGAGAGATAGAGAGAGACCGGAGAGACCAGAGACCAGGGAGAGACCAGAGGGACCAGGGAGCTACCAGAGAAAGACCAGAGGGACGAGAGAGTCCGGAGAGAGAGAGAGAGAGAGAGAGAGAGAGAGAGACCAAAGCCTGAGCTGGAGTGTTTCAGTGTTTTTCATTCGTCTGATGACTCAATACAAAGACCCGGTGTTCAATGGTGGTTTCTAGTGGATTGGAAGTATCTTAACTTGAATCCGTTGCTCCTAAGACTTGTGTCTATACTGTCACGAGTGTAGAACAAAAGTGAGAACTCAAATGCAGAACTTCCAAAAAGACAAGATTAAATTAACAATACATAAAAATGAAATAACAACAACCACGTATAACAAACCTGACTGACTGTACAAGAACAAAAAAGAGTCTTGTACTGCTGGACACCTGAATTTCTCCTACGGGGGATCAATAAAGTATCTATCTATAACAGAAACAGGGACAAGGATAAAATGGGCCGGCAACAAAAAGAGAGGAGCACAGGCTTAAATACACAGAGTGAAACACACTGGGGCTGGGCATTCAATCAACAGAACAGGAAGTCAAACTAAAAAACATAGAACAGATAGTGCAATGAACAGATAATTTAATTGAAATAATGACAGAAATAATCTACATGTAGAAACAGAAAAAGTCACAAAGGCACAAAAGTGCATGAGCTGAACTAAAAATCTGTCAAACCCACTGCTCTGAGTGTTCAGCAAAGTTAGATGGACTTAAGGACAATGGTCTGTACGATCATCTGGGCTCAGCCACAGGATGTTTGAAACATAGGACACTCTTTTGAACTATGAATCTCTCCAGAGTCAGTCCATCTGCCACAGTTTCACACAACCACACCGCTGTGTCCTCTGTGCGTTCACAGTGATCACAGCTCAGAGAGTCCAGACCTAAGTCCACACCTGTGTTTGGACCGGACTTCCGCTGCAGCCGCAGATCTGCATGTCTCTCTCTGGTCTCTCCCTGTAGAACATCACCTTCACACAGTTAGGGTGAATAACTTACTGAAGCTGTCACTGAAGCTGCTCTCCAGAACCGTCAGAGTGTCCTGCAGGGGGTAAGAGTCATGGTCCAGCATAGATGTTTGTCCAGGACCCTCCTGTCCCCCACCTGCTGCACTGTGTCCAGGGAACAGCCCAGGACTGAGCTGGACTTCCTGATGACCTTGTGCGGCCTCTCTCTGTCCCTCTCTGTGATGCTGCTGCTCCAACAGACCACTCCATGCTGTCACCAGAGGGTGAAGGTAACATTTTCCCAAAATTTTTAGTTTAGTTCATGTTCATAAATTTGGAAGAAGAAACACTAGCTGTTGTAACTGTTGGGTGGCGTCTGGCCCAGTTCATGACACAGTTTGGATAAAAATATGGCCAAATTGGAATTACATTAAAATAGAAAAATTACATATATTAACCTCAACACTGTTGAGGATGTTAGTTGAGGCGTTTTGAATCAGAGAAAATAAGGGGTTCTGTGTGCCCCCATTTGGCGAACCCTGCTTTAAATGATTGACTGATGTATTAAGAGCTGAAACATCAGAAAGTCCTGTTGCTTGTAATAATAAAGAGGTAAACTTTGCCCTGAGCTGATTGGTTATCACAGCGGCACAGTGTTTATGATGGTGACTTGCAGATCAGTGATAAAAGTCTAAACTTGCAGCTTCCTGTTGATCTAAGTGCTTCTTGTCATTGGGTCAAGTTTGTTTTAGGATTAAACAGAAAAACACAAGTGAAAACACGAGACATGAGGGAGAGACATTGTCCTTGTTAGTCCAGTAAAAGATCTCCTGGAAATAGAGGAAAGTGATGTAAGTTTAGCTAAGTTAGTTAGATGTTGATTCTCTCGAGGACCCGAGCTGGACGATTTAACCTATTGTACAATTTTTCAGTGGTAGGAGAAAGTGGAGCACCTGGAGTAAACCCACACAGAGACTGAGCTCAGAAAGGCCCAGGAGCCCAGGAACTTCTTTATTGCCCGCATTGTCTTTAATCGCTCCTGACGATTAAAGACAATGTATTGTGAGTTTTTGTTTGAGTTTTGTTCATGATACAATTTTTTTACATATTTAAAAAAACGCTTTTTTGTAAGTGAGCTGGTAACACAGAGTTTAGGTTCTGCTGCTGTGAGGTGCTGCATAAGGATTAAACAACAAGGATTCAAGTTCGGAGCAGTCTCTCTCCTGATTGGCTCTTTGGTTGCTAGGCCGTTGCTATTTCCCAGTCAGTGCTTGTATACAGGAAAATGAATGACACACTGTAAAGTAAAGGAAAACGTTTTATTTGAATTTTTTAATTAAACTGATAACTATTTATTAAATTGAATGCTCTGGGAGTCTGTTTCTTTACTACACTATTTACTTTCATTTCATGTTTTAGTAAAAACTGCTTTCCACCTGTACCTCTGTGTGCTGCCACCAGGTCTGGTTTGTTGGTTTGTTATCTTTCCAAACACCAACAAACTGTTGAGAAATGACTAAACTCTAATTTACAGTCTCTATTTTTGTCTTTAAAGTGTGAGTGTGATGTCATAGTGATGTCATAGTGGTACAATGACATCATGCTGTTACAGGTACAAGACCGGAGCCTTTAGACAGAAGAGGCAGAGCTGCATCTGTGCTTTCCAAGGGTTAGGATATTAGTGTGTAAGGAACTAAAAACAGCTCCGGTCTGTGACTGATGAGGAACTATGTTGTGACATGGTTAACACTAGAATTCCCAGATAAGTCATTTTAACGGCTAAAAGCTAACTGCTAACAGTAAGCCGTGTGATGCTATCATAGCTAGCACTAACACTCTTTTGTGAGTGTTTGCTCAGGACCCGGACCGGAACCAGCCCCTCATAAAAAAGGGCTTTAGGTGCAATAAAATATTGGTTGCCAAGCGACCAAAAATTTCTATATTTGAATTTTACATTCATATGAAAAGAGCAGTCAAAACGTCTGCTCTGAGTTAAAGGTAGAACTCCTCCTATTTCAAACATCGAAGAAAGTTTCATAAAAAATGTCAGAAATAAACCACAGAAACAGAAAAACTCATGAAGAACACAAACGTACTTGAGCTGTTCTAAAAGTTGACTTCAATTTGACTGCTCTGGGAGTTCTAGTGATAAAAGCCAAATCAAAAGTTTATTTAGCATATTATGTGTTCTTTAATCTCACACAGTGGAACATTCTAACAATCATCAGAAAACAACATAAAAATCCAGTTTGTAGATGACTCAGTGTTGACTTCTCGGTTGCAGACGTTGTTACTCGTATCTTTGACTCTCAGATCCTCCCACAATTATGACGGTCCAAAGGTCACGCCAGCAACAAGGTCGTCCAGCCTCAGCTTTCTCAGAGCCGACCCGCTGAGGAACACAACCCTCTCACACCCGACCCGCTGAGGAACACAACCCTCTCAGAGCCAATCCTGAGGCTGAGGCACACAACCCTCTCAGCACTGACCCTGAGGCTGAGGCTGAGGCTAACATGTCCCCGTCCCTGAGAGTCCTGGTGCTGGTCCTGTCCTCTGTCCTGTCGGCACAGTCTGCTCTGGAGGACGAGGCCAGAGAGTTCCTGAGGAGATTCGATGAGCAAGCCTCCAATCTGATGTACAGCTATTCCCTGGCATCATGGGCCTACAACACGGACATCTCACAGGAGAACTCTGACAAAGTGGTGAGAGAGCACTGGACTGGGTCTCAGGACAGAGAGAGAGCACAACAGGGACTGGACTGGGTCTGAGGACAGAGACTTTTTAGAAAACAGACTTAGAAAGAGCCCTGGACGCTTTAGGTTGAGAGCTGATTGGCTGAGTGAGGGTGATAATGCTACAAAACTCATGAATGAACCAAACTGTTTACATGACTTGAACTCTCACAGCAGTCAATTTGATGGCTTTTACTTTTGGAAGCCGAATGACTGCTCCTGTACATTTGTGCTCCTCTGAACTTTGTGACTCTTTCTGTTTCTATCTAGAGTTTATTTTTGTCATTATATTTATCTATATGTGCACACATTTAAATGTGTTCAACCTTTAACTCCCTTTAACTCCCAGAGCAGTCATTTTGACGGCTCTAAATGTTAAATTCAATGTAGCCTTTTTAGGTCACCCGGCAACCAATATTCTATGAAAGTTAGAGGTTTCTACAATGTGCTGCTCCTGGGCTGGTCCTGGTTCAAAGCACTCTCAGCTTGGAGCAAGTGCTAGTTAACATAGCAACACACTGTTTACTTGACAACGATTAGCATAAGCTTCTCAAACTGTTTTTCTTATGACTGAAATAGGTATATTCACCAGTTGTAGCACTTATTATGGATACAAATATGCATGTGTGTACTGTACATTTGCGAGCTTAAGGGGTTAATTTAAGAAGAAAAAAGTAGTGACATTTTCATTTTTAGAATTACATTGATCTGAATAGGAGCGGTCAAAATGACTGCTCTGGGAGTTTGAGCAGTTTCAGAATGATGTCCATTATTGGATGTTTTGATTTTGGGTCATACAGTTTGTACTTAACATTGTGTAGTGCTGTTGACCTGTTTATCTGACAGATCCATAAAATAACTGCAGAAAGATCCTGTAAATCCAAACATGAAGTAATAATACTGACAAAATGTGATTATTTTCAAAGTCTGGAATAATGTGCTTTCACTGCAGAAACATATATTTTTAAACCAACTCACTTTACTTCACCTGTGTGTTAATGTTATTGACTGACAGCTTGGATGGCTTTCTTGTGTTTTCATTTTTCAGGCTGAACAAGGAGCCATCTGGGGAGACTTCTACGCGAACATGTCAGCTGAGTCCGAGAAGTTTCCCATCGCTGAAATCAAAGACAGAGAAATCAAACTCCAGCTCATCTCTCTGCAGGACAAGGGCTCTGGAGTGCTGTCCCAGGAAAAGCAGGCCCATGTGAGAATATACTGACACGTTTGAATGTTTGAGTCTAAAAAATAACATGGGTGTGTGAAATCATACATGGACTAGAGGCCAACCGCAGTACTGCAGCCAAAATCCACCCGGGCTGCTGGGAGATTTACCCATAGACCTCAGTGTTAACAAAAACTGAGATTGTATACATAATAATCAGCTGCTGTTGTAAATACATGTGGATTAGCTCAAGGCTAGTTGGCGTGCGTAGTGAAGGGGAAACTGGAGCACCTGGAGGAAACCCCACATCACATCATCAGAAGGGTTCTCAAAAATCCCAGTTTTCCACAATGTCTACTTTACTCTTCTCAACTCTACATTTCTCTGGAAACAGAATTATGGGGAACCATGGCTTGCAGCAGCCGTCTGGCCAATCACCAACAGAAACTTTAGTACTAGCTCGGCCCGGATAGAACTAGGGCCAAGAAGGACTAAAGAAGGACCTGGTACTGGTTAAACAGGGCCGGTGGAAACACTCCCAATCGATAGAGTATAGAGTAGAGTAGAGTAGAGTGAATATAATAATAATAATAATACATTTTATTTGAAAGCGCCTTTCAGAACACCCAAGGACACTGTACAATGGACACATTAAAAACAATAAAAACAAGAGCGACAGAATAAAACAGAGTACAATATTGAGAGGGTGCGCGCATAACTAGGTGTTATAGGACTGTCTGAACAGGTGAGTTTTGAGTCTGGATTTGAAGAGTGGCAGGGAGTCTATGTTACGGAGGTCGGAGGGGAGAGAGTTCCAGAGCTGGGGAGCAGAGCGACTGAATGCTCTGTGCCCCATGGTGACGAGTTTGGCCGGTGGAACGGAGAGTTTGAGAGTGGAGGAGGAGCGGAGTGCGCGGGCAGGAATTGCGATGTGGAGGAGGTCAGATATGTACGGAGGGGCCAGGTTATGAAGTGCTTTGAATGTGATGAGGAGGATTTTGAAGTTGATTCTATGTTTTATGGGAAGCCAGTGGAGTTGTTGTAGGACAGGGGTGATGTGGTGAGAGGTAGAAAGTTGCACTTTCCAGGGGCAAAGTATTTTAAGATACAATATTTTTTGTATTGCACTATATTGCGGCAATAACGTACACAAAAAAACTACACAAAACAATAATTTTCATATTTAAATTACAACGTTATCTAAAAAAAAAATTATGTGAAGAGATACAAATCAAGTTCAACCCACCCATGTTTACCCTCACACCTGATTGGACGTTCCAAATTCAAATCCTTGTCATTGGTCGAACAATTCTCCTCCAGTAAATCAGGAGGCTGTCGTTTTACCGAGAGGAGGAATTCTTTGAAGTACATCACTTTAAAAAAATATTTAATTTGTGAGACAGCACAAGGGTAGCCAGATCCCCTCAGACCTCTGAAGCTAAGCAGGGCAAGGCCTGGTTAGTGCTATAATGGGAGACCACTGGGAACTGTTGCTGTGCCCTTAGGCAAGACTCTTTACCCACATTGTCTAGTATGAGTCTAAAGAAGCACTATATAAAAATCAACGCATTATTGTTAAATGGTCTAAAATATGTGGTTTTGTTTTGTATGTGATAGTTTAAGAGTTAAAGGTGAGGTCTACCACTTCACAGTAATAACCCTTGTATTACTATCACGTACTGTACATAGGGGGTCCCTGCGTTCTCGCTCAGTCACTGCTGATTCCCGGAGCTCGTTCCTGCTGGATCCGTGGCGTGAGGTGTTTAATATTGCGGTTGTGTTGTGTCCTGTGTCTTCAGCTTTCGAAGGTCATGAACGAGATGAGCACCATCTACAGCACCGCCACCGTGTGTCTCCCGGACGACCCTTTTAACTGCCAAACGTTGGAGCCAGGTACCTTTCAGCGCAATCACTCAGAAGGGCCACACAAGGGCAAAGGCACAGGGGCGGCTCCCAGGGGAGGCTCCCAGGGGAGGCTCCCAGGGGGGCTCTCATGGGGGGCAGTTAGGGGGGCAGGGCATTTACCTGACCACAGTAACTATGGTCGTGTTCAAATGACATTAATGCATTCTATAATACTACAGTTTAATTAGATGCAATGTATCAGTGTATCTCCCTAACCTTTTAAGGATCACCCTCCCTGTACAGGGAGGATTCAGTAATTTTTCATTTAACAGCATCAGTATTAGAATTCACTTGTGTCAATATAGTCAAGCTATATCTCTTTTGAAAGCTTATTCCCACCTATAAACGCATATTATGTTCAAATAAACATTAAATATTAACAAAAGTAAGAAGAAGTAGTCAAACTGTATTTATATATAAAATATATATTGTCCTTTCTTACCATTTCATGCTAATATTCTGGGGCAAATCACTTCTAATCCACACATGTGTGCATTAATTTTGTTCGTTAGGGTCTAGAGAATAATTATATCCAGTTGTTTTTTCTTCAGTCATCCTTATAGTAGATATCCACTTGTAACAACATATTTGAGTATTGAAAGTTGCACAAAAAAAAACAAAACCTGTTCTTTGCGCACTGTATGAAGAGGACATTTTACTATTTACCTAGCGTCACTGGGTATGTTCGTCTTCCCCTAAGCCTCCCCTTCAAAACAAGCCCTTTCCCGGACTTTTCAGTGCTATGGTTTGGAAGGTAGAGTAAGTTGAGTAAAACAAGCGCACCTAGCTTTAGCGCTCCAGTCATATAGATATCTGTGCGTCACGACAGCATTGTCTTGACTACCATTGGCCGATTTGGATGTCAATCAAATCATCTTGTAGCCAATAATCTCAGGTTTCAGGCGATGTGTCGGACTTCAAGGTTCCTCCCACTGTTCCCGTCATATTTGAATGCGTAGAGGAAGACGGAGCCTCTTTCACGGAGAACACGCGCTACAACTATATAAATAATAGCTTTTCTGAAAACATTTCAATATCTGGAAAAAATGCTATTTATAGCAAGAGTAATAGCCAAAAAATGATATAATTTGATTTTTGGTGTAAAAACATTGATAATTTGCATGTAAAACACTTTGGCACAGTTGGCACAAAAATGGACCACTTGTGCCGAATGTGCCCATTAGTTACAACAAAGCCCCCAGCATCAAAATAGTTCTACCTAAAGGTCTAAAATTTCATACAGGTGTTGCCAACACCACAAACATCTGCTCTGATGAGTTTGAACAACATACCATAAAGTATGTATTCAGGAGAACCTTTTGAAATTGCCTTCTTTTTTTTGAGACAAAAAAAACTAACTTTGACTCATGTTTGAGAAGGTGTAGTGCAGACTGGGTCCTTCCTAACAAACTGTAACATACATTTCCAGAAACTAGAAGGTGTTACCTTTCAAATGAGGCATCATAACACAACATCAGACACAAGATGTCCACACAATAAGCATTTCCATTTGGGTATCATAATTCGAAAAGGAACAGGCGAAATTAGGTGATCCTTAAAAATCACAACAGCAGCCGTCTTAGAGAACTTAGAGAACAAAATGCAGATTCAACAACAAATCAGAAAATTCAGCAGTTGCAACACAGGATAGTGAGCGTGGTCCATAGTGAGCGGGATGACCACTGTTCAGTAATGGTAATAAATGTGTAGAAATGTCTCGGATCATCATTGTCCTTAGAATCTCCTGAAATCGGTAAGGATCCACTCAGAAACCCAGTGGGAATAAGGAGTAGGTCTCTATCAAGTACAGGGACGATTGACCTGAAAACAACACTGCAGAGGTTTCATGGGTGATATGGAATGGTCTCCCCCGACCTGACCTCGTGGACTGCACTCTCCTCCACCCTGAGAGCATCCTCAGTCCTGGATCTACAGCTACATTACTGGATCTACAGCCTCAGTCCTGGATCTACAGCCTCGGTCCTGGATCTACAGCCTCAGACCTGGATCTACAGCATCAGACCTGGATCTACAGCCTCAGACCTGGATCTACAGCCTCAGTCCTGGATCTACAGCCTCTGGCCTGGATCTATAGCCTCAGACCTGGATCTACAGCCTCAGACCTGGATCTACAGCTTCAGACCTGGATCTACAGCCTCAGTCCTGGATCTACAGCCTCAGTTCTGGATCTACAGCCTCTGGCCTGGATCTATTGCCTGTTCGTCCGTGGTAGTAGATCTCTCTCTCAATATGGACCTCCTGGGGTTTTTATTATTATTATTATATTTATATATTTGTTATAGTGGCTACTTGCCAATGCACCAGGCTCTAAGGACAGTGAAGATCCAGGACATTTCTGCACATTTATTAACAATTCTGAACAGTAGTCATACCGCTCCCTACGGACCAATGGCTCCTATGTGTTTGTTTGGACTTTAATATTCTCTGATCTGTTTTTTGCGAATCCACAATTTGTAAAGTCCTCCGAGACGACTCCTGTTGTGATTTAGGTCTCATCCTCTGGTCTTCTCCTCAGGTCTGGAGGACGTGATGTTCAACAGCAAGGACTACTGGGAGCGGCTGCATGTGTGGGAGGGCTGGAGGCAGGAGGTGGGGAAGAGGATGAGGCCCCTGTACGAAGACTACGTGGATCTGAAGAACGAAGCAGCCAAGCTCAACGGTAACATCACGTCTCATCTCATCTCACTAGAACACATGTTTTCTTTTGTATATGTGTGAGGAAGAGCCCTGAGAGTCACTATTTGACACTTGGGCTCTACCTTCTACCTTTTTGAGAGTAGAACACACTTTTTCACTTTCTTGTCTGAAAAAGCTGATTTAAGGATGTGACAGAGGCCAGAAATACAAGCATGTGAAAACCAGACCCAGACCAGACCCAGACCAGAACTAGACCAGACCAGAGCCAGACCAGACCTAGAACAAACCCAGACCTATAGACCTGACGCAGACCAGATCCAGACCCGATACAAACCAAACCCTGACCAGATCCACACCCAGAATCGAGCCAGACTAGACCCTGAACAGACCAGACTCAGACACAGAACAGTCCCAGATCCAGATGAAACCCAGACAAAGACCAGACCCAGACCCAGGACCGGGACCAGATCCAAATCAGGCCAGCTGCCAAAGAAGACATGCATCTGAAAGCTAGAACAAAATGGTTTCAGGGCCTTCAGGAACTAATTTGAACACCATCCATCCATCCATTTTCTTCCGCTTTATCCGTTGCCGGGTCGCGGGGGCAGCAGTCTAAGCAGAGACGCCCAGACTTCCTCCAGCTCGTCCGGGGGGACCCCAAGGCGTTCCCAGGCCAGCTGAGAGACATAGTCCCTCCAGCGTGTCCTAGGTCTTCCGCGGGGCCTCCTCCCGGTGGGACGTGCCTGGAACACCTCCCCAGGGAGGCGTCCAGGAGGCATCCGGAACAGATGCCCGAGCCACCTCAACTGGTTCCTCTGGACGTGGAGAAGCAGCGGCTCTACTCCGAGCTCCTCCCGTGTGACCGAGATCCTCACCCTATCTCTAAGGGAGCGCCCAGCCACTCTGCGGAGGAAGCTCATTTCGACCGCTTGTATCCGCGATCTCGTTCTTTCGGTCATTACCCAAAGCTCATGACCATAGGTGAGGGAGGGAACGAAGATTGACCGGTAAATCAAGAGCTTTGCCTTTCGGCTCAGCTCCCTCTTCACCACAACGGTCCGATACAGCGACCGCATCACTGCGCACGCTGCACCGATCCGCCTGTCAATCTCACGCTCCATTCTTCCCTCACTCGTGAACAAGACCCCGAGATACTTGAACTCCTCCACTTGAGGACGGACCTCTCCACCCACCTGTAGAGGGCAAGGCACCTTTTTCCGGTCGAGCACCATGGCCTCGGACTTGGAGGTGCTGATTCTCATCCCAGGCGCTTCACACTCGGCTGCAAACCGTCCCAGTGCATGCTGCAGGTCCTGGTTCGTTGGAGCCAACAGGACAACATCGTCCGCAAACAGCAGAGATGAAATCCTGTGGTCTCCGAACCGGACCCCCTCCGACCCCTGGCTGCGCCTAGATATTCTGTCCATAAATACAGTGAACAGAACCGGTGACAAAGGGCAGCCCTGTCGGAGGCCAACATTCACCGGGAACAGGTCTAATTTGAACACATACATCATATATCAATTATCATATATTAGTTGTGGTTTGCAAGTTTTGCATTGCAGTTTTAACATCTAAAAAGACATGTCATGATTAGTTCTTGTGTTTTAGGTCAGTTGCCTAAACCATCATTGATCCTACTAGCTCTACGCCTCAGTGTTGAGAGCCCCGAATACTACATTTACTTATACTTACTTAAATTAAAGATGGAGTTTGTTCTACCTCAAACCTCCCCTTTAATCTCAAATCTAAAGGATGGGATATTGTAAAAGCTTTAACAGCCAGAACGTGAACCTGCCGAGACCTTTGACCTTGGATTATTCTTTTACATCATGCGACCATGTGTCGTTGCATTCATGCAGGAAGAGCAACAACAACAGTGTTTAATGTTTAACAGAAGTGAAAGAAAACACTACTGACTTGCAACTACAGCACGTGGAACTGCAGTACATGTGGAACTACAGTACATGTGGAACTACAGCATGAGGAACTACGGTACATGTGGAACTACAGTATATGTGGAACTACAGTACATGTAACTACAGCACTTTACGACAGCACTTATCTACATGTAACCACAGTATTGTAACTACAGTACTTAACTACAGACGCCCTAGCTGAAAGATCTCAGCTCCTGTGGACTCACCACCTGCAGGAGGATCAGTGAGGGGCTGGTGCAATGTGTACTGGGTGCAGCTCTGACTGCCACCCCCCAACCCAGAAATGTGTGGAAGAAGATGGATGGATGGATGGACTTAACTACAGTACATTTAACTACAGTACATGAATCTACAGTATTGTAACTGCAGTACTTAATTTAACTACAGTACTTAACTACAGTACATGAAACTACAGTACTTAATTTAACTACAGTACTTAACTACAGTACATGAATCTACAGTATTGTAACTGCAGTACTTAATTTAACTACAGTACTTAACTACAGTACATGAAACTACAGTATTGTAACTGCATTACTTGTACCTTTTGCACATGTACCTACTGCACTTGGATCGCTGCTCCCTCTTCAACCCCACAGTCCGGTACAGCTCTGACTACAAACACTTCTCACTGTTACTCCGTCCATCCCTCACTGAGAACAAGACCCAGAGACACTTGAACTCCTCCAAAAAATACATTTTACTTGATAATAACATCTATTTTGATATGATTGGAATGTGTTCTTTTTTTGGAAGTATGGTATTGTGTGCCGTACTGTACACTATACTGTTTGGTGTACTGGTGTCTGATGGTAACACCGATCAGAGAATCAGACTGTTCAAACAAAGGAACTTTAATGACAAAAACCCACAAATCCATTGGTCCATATTGGGCGAACAACCAATGTCCAACACACGTTTCTCTGATCTTTGCTTTCAGATTACGAGGACTATGGTGCATACTGGAGATACAACTACGAAACCGTGGAGGAGGAGGAAAAGTACACCTACACCAGAGACGAGCTCATGCACGACGTCCGGAAAATATACCAACAGGTCTGAGCAAAACCGTCTGAAATCAAAGCTACATGTGTGTTTTTAGTCTCTGTCTGAAGCCAGAACTCTGTCCAGATCATGCCGCTGTACAAGGAGCTCCACGCCTACGTCAGGGCCAGACTCATGGAGGTCTATCCTGGACATATCGACCCCCACGGCCCCCTCCCCGCACACCTGCTCGGTACGAGTGCAATTATTTAGTATAATTCATTATTATACTCAAAACAAAACAAAAAAATTGAAAAGGAGTAAGCTAAAATAATTAAGTTTTTTTTTGTTTCTTTTGATTCTTTTAGGATATTACAAAGGCACTAAACGAAAATAAAACACAATACAATAATCTGGAATAGATAGATAATTAGTAGGATGTATGTTCCTGGCCACTTACCTACTTTCTTCAATTATAGATGGAGTTTGTTCAACCTCATTCTCCCCTGTAATCTCAAATCAAAATAATTATTCATCCCACAATGGGTAAATTTCAGTTTGATGCATACACATATATATATATACATAAGGCAAGCAGCAAACATCACTTCCGCGCTCCTTATAGGCAAAGTGGGTTTAGTGTCTTGCCCAAGGACACAACGACAGCAGACTTCAGTGGGAGTCGGTGGAGAAGCCTTAAAGGCGAATGCTCTACCAACTGAGCTACTGTCGGGACATGTAAAAGTTGACGACACAATTTAAACAGAGGTTTTGAGTGGTTAGCCATGCTTTTAAGTGAAAGCCTTTGTTGTGGTTAGCCATGCTTCTAAGTGAAAGCTTTTGTTGTGGTTAGTCACGCTTCCACACTTGAAAAAATAATATTGGGTTTCATTGATAAAGCTAACCTAAACCTAAGATAACCTAAAGTACCCCTGTATCAACATTTTCCACATCACTCTTTCATGTTGGTTTAAATGAATTAAGTTATTTAAATGTAATAATATTGTTGGACTTGTTTGACTTCAATTCAATTATGTGGAAAAGGTTCCTTTACGTTATAAAAAATTCAATAATCTGCAGTAGATGGAGTTTATGTTCATGGCCCAGATTATCAAATATTCTTACCCACTTACTTAGATTAAAGATCAAACCTCACCTTTAATCTCAAACCAAAACGATGGAAGTGGGATATTGTAAAAGCTGTAGTTGATGACAAGACATATGACCTGAAAGATTGTTTTTATATTACTTATAAAAACGTCTGAGTCGAGGTAAAAGCTAACTGTAGCATTGTAGACGACTGTTATTCCATGTTTAGTTCTTCTTGTGAGATCACAGAGCGCACATAGATGGGTTTTTAATCATGTTCTTGTGACAGGCGACATGTGGGGTCGGTTCTGGACTAACCTCTACCCTCTGTCCACCCCGTACCCCGAGAGACCGGACATCGACGTCACCCAAGCCATGTTGGATCAGGTACCGCTTCTCATTAGTACCATATTTATACCGCAGAGAAGATAGTTCAATGTATAAATGAAGTCAAACTATCCACCTTTGATCCAGTTATGGTTCAACCCAAACATTTAACTGTTAAGAGTTGTGCCGCCCCCTGCAGGTGAAAGCAGATCCTCTCAGACCTCTGAAGCTAAGCAGGGCAGGATCTGGTTGGTACTGTGATGGGAGACCTCTGGGAACACTGAGCCACTCTGATGACTTTAAATCGCCAAACTAGCAAAACACTTCACTCACATTAGAATGAGTCTGGTGTGTGTCTGAGTGGTTGGTGATGGCTGTCAGTGTTCCCTAAGGCAGCTGTGGTAGTAGTAGTATATCACCACTGTGTATGAAGTGCTGTATAAAACCAATGCATTATTATTAGTTATATTAATAGTTCAATTAACAAACCTTATAGACTAAGGTTTGCATAATGTAAAACAGCATACTATAAATACATATAAAAGACAATCACAGAAGACATGGACATAACAGGAAGCTGCTTCTTTGTGTTAATTATGGCCTTTGAGTAAAATATTTTAAGCCTTATTAGATCCATGCCAGCTTTTTATTGAAATGTCTCCTCCTGCTGGATAGGCCTCAGCATGAACAAACGCTCTCCAAACTACAACAGAGACGTACCTATTCACAGTGAAGACAGTTAGCACAACAGAGACCACTTTGATGAGAGTAAAGGCCCCATTCTGACCACTCACACAGTCCCTGGGTCACTAGTCATTAGTCAAATATGCAAAAATATAGACTTCTAGAGACCAATGTCCATGAATGTTGATTAATGTCCATACAAAAATGACTTTGCGCCTATTCTGGGATATTTTAATACACTTCAATTACATTCCTAAAATACCTTGTTAAAAATGATGTCTCTGCAGGGATGGAAGGAGATCCGGTTCTTTCAGGAGGCAGAGAAGTTCTTCATGTCCGTGGGTCTGTACAAAATGTACAGTAACTTCTGGAACAACTCAATGTTTGTGAAACCGGAGGATGGACGCAGAGTGGTGTGTCACCCAACGGCCTGGGACATGGGCAACAGGAAGGACTTCAGGTCGGACAATTATAAACAGCATTACTTACAGTGACCACAGGGGGCAGCATGTCACTCAGTTATGAAAGGGATCTATTTAAATCAGGGGTCTCCATGCTCTTTCAATCATATAGCTACTTATATGCAGCAAATGAGGCAGAGAGCTATTCGTTTCTGCAGTCTTAATAAAAAATATCTATGTAATATTTACGACAAAACATAGAGAACACATAAATATACCAGAATACTGAAAAACCCTATATCTATACGTATAATAGATATGTCAAGACTCAAAATGTATTCATTCAAGATCATGTATAAAATTCAAAATTCTTTGTGAAGCTTCCTGAAAGGGGCTGGCGAGCTACTGCTGATTTAAATCATTGAAATTTAAAAAACTTCTGAAACGCAAATTATTCCCACATTACACAACATCATGAACCCCAAAGAGAACCAAAAAACAGTCCCGGTAATCTATTGAACACATCACCCCTGCAACAAACTAAGGACCACTCTTTTTTTTGCAATCCCAATGAGTATTTTGTATTTTGCCTCCTGGACCGAGAACCTTTGCCCACTTTGCCGCTCCATAGAATTGAGATCTGCCCCTTATACGTCTCTGTTGAAAAACGTCTTCCATCATCCCTTTTCCAGAATCAAAATGTGCACTAAAATCACCATGGACGACTTCCTGGTGGTGCACCACGAGATGGGCCATAACCAGTACCAGATGGCGTACCAGAACCGGTCGTACCTGCTGCGAGACGGGGCCAACGAGGGTTTCCATGAGGCTGTGGGGGAGATCATGTCTCTGTCTGCGGCCACGCCCTCGCACCTGCAGAGTCTGGGGCTCCTGGGGGCCGACTTCACCTATGACAACGGTAACTCAACCTGGAGACACACAAACAGAGAAAAGGGATAATAATAATGATAACAAAAATAATAATAATAATAATAATAATAATAATAATGATAATGATGATGATAATAATAATAATAATAATAATAATGATAATGATAATAATAATAATAATAATAATGATATTGATAATGATAATAATAATAATAATAATAATAATAATGATAATGATAATGATAATGATAATAATAATAATAATAATAATGATATTGATAATGATAATAATAATAATAATAATAATAATAATGATAATGATAATGATAATAATAATAATAATAATAATAATAATAATAATAATGATAATAATAATGATACTGATGATGATACTGATGATGATGATGATGATGATGATGATGATGATACTGATGATGATGATGATGATGATGATACTGATGATGATGATGAGACTTTTTAATGCTCAAAGACGGTTTACAAAAGAACAATATGTACAACGGTAAAGCGTTTTAAGTTAAGTATAATTAAGTAATGTTTCACAGACAAGGATCACAAAGACAGTAAAAATTCTACACGCTTTGCGACTCTAATATCTGAAAGGCACTAAATAATTCAAGATTATTTACTTATTCGTAAAAAATTACATTTATCGCTGCTGCACAAGATATCTGGTTATCTTGGTAACTTCATAACAATAAAATAAAAAAATCAAGCCTTTAAAAAAATAAAAACTAAGACACCAGTCTCATTTTTACAGTTCTGGAAAATGTTCACAACTAATATAATATTCAAATTAAATGTATTTGTAAATTCAATCCAATCAATTGGATTTGGATTTTGTTACTGTTTTTTCTTTGTAATTGTTTACCCCCGTCTCTTCTGTAGTTCTACTTCCTGTTTACCTGCCCTGCCATCATGTGCATCATATTAGTCTTGTCTTTTTAAACCATTGCTCACACCATGTTCCCTCATTGTCATCTCAACGTCTAGTTCTTGTCTTCGCCCCCTGTTTGGTTGCGTTTTGTAGTTTCTCTCTGCTTTTGGTTTTCGTATTTGCTTTTATTTTCTTACTCATTTTTGCTGTCCTATATTTTGGGTTATCCTTATTTGCCTCTTAGATTTTTCAGCCCAACTGTTACTGTTGTTGCCACAGCAGTTGTGACATCCACCATATACAGGGCTCAGTACTGCCATCGTGTGGTTAAAAGAGTTAGTGAAATGATCATTATAACTTGATAGTCATGTTTCTAAAGTTTATTTGCTGTTTATTCTAATCAATCTGAATATTATCGTTATTTTTGGATGTTGGAATTTTTTATTGTTTATGATAATTTTTTGAACCCAATCTTCTTTTAGTCCCATTTCTAGTATTAGTAATTATATTGTATTTATATATACGTAATGCAAAGTTAAACTATAAACAAGATACAAAATAAAAAACAAGACAAAATACAGAAATCTATTGTATAGGTTGGACGAAGCAGACGGTTATCTCTAACCGCTCACTGAATAAACACAATCCATGCACACACATGACACAAGCACAACACACACGTACACACACGACTACACACAGGCCCAGACACCCTCTACCCATATGGTTTTGAACCCTCTGTGATCTTTCTGACCCAGAGACGGAGATAAACTTCCTGTTGAAGCAGGCGCTCAGCATCGTGGCCACACTGCCCTTCACGTACCAGCTGGAGGAGTGGAGGTGGCAGGTGTTTGCTGGAAACATCTCCAAAGATCAGTGGATGAAGACCTGGTGGCAGATGAAGTAAGAGCCACTAACTGTGAAGTACTGATGGCACCGAGATCCAGTCACTGAAAGGGTCTCAGATCGAAGTCCTCATTCAAACCTTTTTGGCTTAAAGTCTCGAGTGTGAAAATCTAAAAAGTCAAGAGGTTTTTTAAGAGACTCTGGTCTCTCACTCTGGTCTCTCACTCTGGTCTCTCTCTCTGGTCTCTCTCTCTGGTCTCTCTCTCTGGTCTCTCTCTCTGGTTTCTCACTCTGGTCTCTCACTCTGGTTTCTCTCTCTGGTCTCTCTCTCTGGTCTCTCTCTCTGGTTTCTCTCTCTGGTCTCTCTCTCTGGTCTCTCACTCTGGTTTCTCTCTCTGGTCTCTCACTCTGGTTTCTCTCTCTGGTCTCTCTCTCTGGTCTCTCTCTCTGGTCTCTCTCTCTGGTCTCTCTCTCTGGTTTCTCTCTCTGGTCTCTCTCTCTGGTCTCTCTCTCTGGTTTCTCTCTCTGGTCTCTCTCTCTGGTCTCTCTCTCTGGTCTCTCTCTCTGGTCTCTCTCTCTGGTCTCTCTCTCTGGTCTCTCTCTCTGGTCTCTCACTCTGGTTTCTCTCTCTGGTTTCTCTCTCTGGTCTCTCACTCTGGTTTATCTCTCTGGTCTCTCTCTCTGGTCTCTCTCTCTGGTTTCTCTCTCTGGTCTCTCACTCTGGTCTCTCACTCTGGTCTCTCACTCTGGTCTCTCACTTTGGTCTCTCACTCTGGTCTCTCACTCTGGTCTCTCTCTCTGGTCTCTCACTCTGGTTTTTCTCTCTGGTCTCTCACTCTGGTCTCTTTTTCTGGTCTCTCGCTCTCTCTGGCCAGTTTGACTAGACTGACTTGACTTGACTTTATACTAGACACTTTCTCAGAAAATCAGATCTCAGCCCAAGGAGTCAAATGGTGACACACGTGACTCTTTCTTAACACAAAAATGTACATGTTTGCACACAAGATATAATATATCTTGGTCTGATTTGGTGTGTGTGTGTGTGTGTTTGTGTGTATCTATGGTCTCTGTGTCTGTGTCTGTCGTCTGTGTGTTTCTCTGTCTGTGTGTTCCTTCTCACTGTGTGTGTGTGTGTGTCTGTCTCTCTCTCCCTCTCTGTCGTCTGTGTGTGCATCTCTCTCCCTGTGTGTGTATCCGTCTCTCTCTTTCTCTCTCTCTATCTGTGTTTGGGTATGTGTGTGTGTGAGTGTGTCTGTCTTTGTGTTGGGGTTAGGGTTAGGGTGTGTGTGTTGCTGTCACTGTATAAAATCAAACCTAAACATTTTGCTGAAGTTGTTAAGTATTATGTATTTGTTGTTGTTCAGGAGGGAGATGGTGGGGGTGGTGGAGCCAGTGCCTCATGACGAGACGTACTGCGACCCCCCAGCTCTGTTCCACGTGTCCGGAGACTACTCCTTCATCAGGTATCACTCCTCAAACCATCAAACAGTTAACAATTATTACTTAATCAGAATCTTTTGTATTGTCGTTGTAATTAACAGGAAGTCACAAACTAGGAATTTGCTGTGGCTCACAATGCAAGTTATAAAACTAAAGGGAAAAAAAGCAAACATAAAAACAGAACACATTATAATTACTACTATTTGCAATTGCACTCTATGTAATTTATGGAACTCGGCAACTTGCCGTTCAGAGTGTTTCACAGGAACAAAAAACACATCAAAAGGCACAGCTTCAACAGTTCAGCTCTTGTCAAAATGACGGTTTTAAAAAAAATTGTACAAAATAGAATCAGTAGAGTAGAGTAGAATAGAGTAGAGTAGAGTAGAGTAGGGTAGGTATAGGGAAGGGTAGGGTAGAGTAGAGTAGAGTAGGGCAGGACAGGGCAGGGTTAGGTTAGGATAGAGTAGAGTAGAGCAGAGAAGAGTAGTAGAGTAGAGAAGAGTAGAGAAGGGCAGGGTAGAGTAGAGTAGAGTAGAGTAGAGTAGAGTAGAGTAGGGTATGGCAGGGTAGGGTAGGGTAGGGTAGGGTAGGGTAGAGTAGAGTAGAGCAGAGTAGGGTAGAGTAGGGTAGGGTAGAGTAGAGTAGAGTAGAGTAGAGTAGAGTAGAGTAGAGTAGAGTAGAGTAGAGTAGAGTAGAGTAGAGTGGAGTAGTTGACTGATCATTTGATGTTTGTGTGTTGCAGATATTTCACCAGGACCATTTATCAGTTCCAGTTCCAGAAGGCTCTGTGTGACGCAGCGGGACACAAGGGAGACCTGTCCTCATGTGACATCACCAACTCTACTGATGCCGGGACCAAGCTCAGGTACAAACCACAGAAGTATATATTAGGAGAGGACAGTGTGACATGACCTTGGTGTCAGTCTTAATGCAAAAGAAGCCGATTTAAACTTAAGCTATCTGCAGCAAATTTCCACATAAGCTTTGGCAGTGTTAGCGCTGTGCCGCAACAGGGGCAGACCAGTGGGGGAGGGTCCCAGCCCAAAAGTGGCCAAAATGACGTGCGCTGACATGCAATACCACCCCGGGCCGATGGGGGTGGACCCAGAAGTAGAATTAGCCAATGCTAACATATAGCATTGGCAGACCTCTCAAAAACGTCTAAACGGATGGACCAAAAGTTGGCTCTTGGCCCAAAGCTCCGTTCCACATGTGTGTCAATGCTGAGGGGGGTGAATTTTTTTGGTCCACTCTAGTTTACTTGCTGTGAATTTTTTAAGTCTCTCGTTCAAATGAATGGAGTTGCGCCGGCTGACGCATGCGCAGATGCGTTTTTTCACAATTTTCTTGGGGGCGGGACCACTTGCGGCCATTTTGGATTGCTCCAGTAGAGCACAATTTTTGACCCATTAGATAGGCTTGACTCTGTCCGTTAATATATACATATGGGGCAGACCCAAGCCCCGGCGATCCAAGATGGCGCCCTATTCAAATGAATGGTTGTGCTCAGTGGCGCTTTGCGACGGCATGGGGGCAGAAAGATTAGCGGAAGTCGCCTGGAACTCGCAGAGATCTATGTGAAACTTGCCTGTATTTGGGGCATCGTCTGGTCCTCCCGGTTCTGCGCAGTGGATGATCTCCCATAATGCGTTGCGCCAAACACGCGTGTGTGGGTCTCACACCGGGTCTCACGCACGTGCACAGAGGGGCTCGGCCGCGCTCTGACCAATCAGAGCAGTTCATCAGAGCGGGAGTTAGAGCGAGAGCCAGACGAGGAGAGTTTGTGGCACTAAAGTGTGGATTTAAACAAAACCAAAGGATTTAAGAAGAAAAAAAGTTCAGGATGACAAGGGACACTAACATCCCCACAAAATCCAACTTTTATTAAAGCTGTAGGTTCTCTGTCAGCTGAGGTCGAGCTGTTTTAATATGCATTGAGATCTATGGGGAAAATTTCTGGGTAGCCCACGTGAATTTAGTCTGGTTCAGTCTGCAGTACCGCGAGAATCCCCCGAGCACATGAGTTATTCAGCTACAAGCTAGTAATACCCTATCCAGTTAATATAATAGATCCATGGGTTTACAAAGACAATATCACAATGTAGGATCACAGAGAGCAATAAACCACAGATTTAGCTAAAGGCGTTTACTTGAATGAGTTGGAGCCAAACTTTGTCTCTTGAGCTGCATTGAGCTTGTGAATGTTTCATTAACTGTTTCATTATCACAGGTGGCAAAAGCAATCATCTTGCTCTTTCTCTTGTTCCTTGAGTTGAGAATGTTTATGTTTTGTATCACTGTGTCCTTAGGCAAGACACTTCACCACATTAGAGTCTGATGTGTGTGTGTTTGAATGGTTGGTGGTGGTGATGGGGGGGGGGCTTCTGTCAGTGTGGCTACAGTAGTAGTTTATCAGGTGCATAGATTGTATTTAATTAATACAATTCAGATTCAGAAAACTTTATTGATCCCAAAGAGCAATTTATTTGCAGCATAACCTCAGAGCAGAACACACAGACTCTACACAAACACACGGTGAGTCAGGCCTCACAGTTCAGTAGCAGCAGGAACTTACACTATAAAATGTTTTAAAAACAATAAAATACACAACAATTCCCAAAAGTCAAGCACGTCTACCAGAGTTAAACATAATGTTAAGTACTGCATGAAGAACGTGTTCAGAAAGGTTTTATCCTGATGCACTCTGACACTAAACCCTCTCCTCTGTGGTGTGACTGTGACAGGGAGATGCTGGAGTTGGGTCGGGCCCAGTCCTGGACTCGGGCTTTAGACACTATCTCTGGACACACACGGATGGACGCGCAGCCGCTGCTCGACTACTTCCACAAACTAGAAGTGTGGCTCAAAGAAGAGAACAGGAAACATGGCAGGACTGTGGGCTGGGACCCCTCCATCGACCCCTGTGAGTCCAGAGAGAGAGAGAGAGACCAGAGAGTGAGACTGTTGAGAGAGACCAGAGAGATGCCAGAGAGGAAGACCAGAGATGGATCAGAGAGAGAGACCAGAGAGGGAAAACCAGAGAGGGAAGACCAGCGAGAGACTAGAGAGAGACCAATGAGAAAGAGAAACCAAAGAGATGCTGATCTGATGAACTGAACTACTTAGATAGAGGGACAGGAGATTTATTTACACAGAAAGTCAGGTACCCAAACTTTAATGGGCTGCCTGGTGGAGAAATTCAACATATTTTTTTCTTGTTCCACAGATTCAGCAAGCGGCATCAAAGTGAGGATCAGTTTAAAAGCAGCGCTGGGCGACAATGCTGTAAGTGATTGCTTATGCCTTAATTGTATAAGGCAATTGTATGGGTGTATTTTGCACCCGCCTCACAAATGAATTAGTAAGTAAGTTTTATTTATTTACATATATCACCTTCCATAGACATGGGGTTTTCCTCTCATTCCACACAGAGATGGGAGCAGGTCTCAGGGACATGCCTGACCTATTGTATATGTTTTAGTGGTAGAGGAAACCAGAGTACCAGAAAGAAACCAACACTAACACAGGGAGAACATGCAAAATCTACACAGAAAGGCCTGGATGTAGAATCAAACCCAAAACCTTCTTGCTGTTTAACTAAGAAATATCTAAAACATGTATTCCCATATACTGTACATATATAATGTTTTAACAAAAATTCTACCTTGACATAAGGAATATATTTTCAACTCCATTTATTTGTGTACCGCCAAATCAGAAAGTTCAGAAAGTTGTGGATTCGCCAACAACAGATCAGAAAATCAAACTGCAATACAATAATATCAAAACTTTTGGAGCCATAGGTTAATAAATGTGCAGACATGCTTGTCCTATTGTCAAATCTAGTTTTAAAACAGCCATAACTTAAAGCATAGATGCTCCCACTGTACAGTCAGACCCTGAGCCAAACCTACTTAAAATCTTCATCTAAAAACAAAGTCATTTTGACATTATCTTTGATTCGCAGTACCAGTGGAATGACAACGAGCTGTTCCTGTTTAAAGCTAACATCGCCTACGCTCTGAAGCAGTACTACCAGCTCCAGAAGAACATCACCATCAAGATCACGTCAGTCTCTCAAACTTTTATAAAACTGTCCCATATAAGGGGGAGGAGTTATGGTCTCTCAGGTGTAGTTCTCCATGAGGGAAGGATGGAGCTGACACTGACAGACGGATCAATGCAGTGTGCGCAGTGATGCTCGAGCCATCCCTCTCCACACACACTTCCTCCAACTCACCGGAGGAGACCAGGGGAGGACCTAGGACACACTGGAGGGACTGCGTCTCTCAGCTGGCCTGGGAACACCTCAGGATTCCCCCTGATGAGCGGGAGGAAGAGTTGGTAGAGGGGGAAGTCTGGGCGTCTCAGCTTGGACTGCTGCCCCTGTGATCCGCAATGGTTAAAGTGTATGAAAATGGATGTATGTCCCAGACTTTAACATTGTGTTTTCTTCATACCTGCAGCTCACAGGACGTCGACACCTTTGACGAGACGCCCAGGATCTCCTTTTACATTGCGGTGAAGAATCCAGCTGCTGCAAACCAGTATTTTCCCAGGGAAGAAGTGGAAGAAGCCATAAGGTACAACTGGTAGAGTAGATTTGTTTGAGGCAGGAGCACTCAGGCAGAAGGGGTGGGGGGAGCTGATGGGCTGAATTGTGCCAGAAGTCAATTATGTATAACGTGGACCGAGCTAAAAACATATCCAGGTGTGAATTTGAAGAGGGAACAGTGTCTATCGAGTGTTTTGCCACAAGGACAACCTTTGGAGCCCTCCATGGACCGCTGTGAATCAACCAGAGAGAGAGAGAGACCTGTGAGAGACCAGTGAGAGACCAGAAAGCGAGACCAGCTAGAGACCAGAGAGTGAGACCAGATCAGACCAGAGAAATTAGAGAGGGGGAGAAGGGAGTGGCATCCTTACAAACAGAACCACTTTATGAACTGGGGCCAGAGAGAGACCGAGGAGAGAGTCCAGACAGAGACAACAGGGACACCAGAGATAGATCAGAGGGAGGGACCGGAGAGAGACCAGAAAGAGGGACCAGAGAGTGACCGGAGAGAGAGAGACCAGAGACTGTGACCAGGGGGAGAGATCAGAGAGAGAAACCAGAGAGAGACCAGAGAGAGAGATCAGAGAGAGACCAGAGAGACAGTGGAGGCAAGTGTACATTTTCATAATCATAAAAAGGTGGCCATAACTTTATAAAACAATTACTTATTCTTGGTCTCTTATGTGTAAAACATTCCCATGGTGCATTGCGGTTGCAGGATGTCTCGCGGGAGGATAAATGACGCCTTCCAGCTCAGCGACAGCACCCTGGAGTTTGTGGGTGTGCCCCCGACGCTGGCCCCACCCGTAGAACAGCCGGTGGAGGTGTGGCTTGTGGTGTTTGGCGTCGTCATGGGGATCGTGGTCATTGCCGGCATCTTCCTGGTGGTGTCTGGCATCAGAGAGCGGAGGAAGTGAGAGAGGAACACAACTTTGTTTATTGTTTATTTCATCTGACACATACACACACACACACACACACACACACACACACACACACACACACACACATAACATAGCTAAAAAATACAATCTTTGAACCTGGCATATACAGATTGACAATGCTTGACCTGCTAACTCAATGTAGCACAATAGGGAAGTGCCCATGGTGAAGTTTCTCTCCAACTCGCTCTGGCTCCTATTGACTTAGCGGTATATTGAAAAGTAAACTCCTCTAGCGCTGTAAAAAAAAAAATGTCAAAAATTTGTCAACAACACTAAACATCAACATGTCAAATTATCATCTTTTTTATTGAGATTTTTGAACGTGTGTATACAAAATACAGAACGCATCGTCCAATCAGGCTTCAGCTCTTTCTCATGTCGTTGTAGGAAATCAAAGGACGCCGTGGTGGAGAATCCTTACACCTCTAACGGAATCTCCAACAAAGGCTTTGACAGCGAGAACGAGCAGACGGGATTTTAACTCTGGAACAAAAGCACCGTCTCACTGTGTTCCAGAGAGGATGTTATTACACAGCTGCTTTATGTAATCTGTGTATCTGTGTAAACGAAATCCTATTCCGTAACATAAATCTCTTTCACTCTATTCCAACATGCATTTGTAGAATATTTCCAAAAGTAAATATTGTTCGTTCTGATCATATGGACTTTTGTGCTAAATTGTGTTTTGTAAAATTGAAGTACATTAAGATGTGTTTTTGTTTAACCCAATTTAAAATCAAACACCCTGATATGTTGTATGAACACATGCTTGGCTTGAAAACATTTCTATCATTATCACTCATCCCTCTCACATCTAAATATGAAAAATTGGTGCTTGTGGAAAAACATAATTTAGATCTTTCGTGTTCTAGTTTCTAGTGATGGGCAGATAAAGCCCCACAACACACCAAGGCGTTCTTTGCCAGATTGTATCAAATGTGTCTGGAGTCTCTGAGCTACCACTAGGTTGCAACACTGACATCTAGTGGACTTATTTAATCATTACAGCTTTAGAATACTTGTGTGCATAGCAAACGCCCCACTGCTTATGATAATACCTAATGACAGTTTCACCATGAAACATAAATGGTAGTTCACTGTTTTTTGTAGTTCTTTGTGTTATTCAAATAAAAGGAACGGTACTTGTGTGTGTTATATTATGTGGAGGTTGTTGCTGCTTAAACCTGTCTCCACACGGATCAGAGGCCACCCACGGTACTGCTGCTTAAATCCACATGGGCAGTAAGGAGATTTCCCCATAGACCTCAGCTGACAGGGAGCCTAAAGCTTTCACAAAGGAGAATTTTGTGGATCTAGTGTCTCTTTTCATCCTAAAGTTTTCTTCTTTTGAAATCCATCGGTTTTATTGAAATACACACTTCAGTGCCACAGTGCTCTGATCAGCGGCACACTGATTGGCCAGAACACTATCCTTCTTTCTCTCTGTGGTCTCTCTTTATGGTCTCTCTCTCTCTCTCTTTCTCTCTCTCTCTCTCTCTCTCTCTCTTTATGGTCTCTCTCTTGTCTTGCAGAACTCTTCTTTACCAATAGTGCATGTTAAAAAGATTAAGACAAATTGGTTCACAACATTTATTTTACTTGTAGAAGACTCTTTCTGTTGTACAAACATTCATTAAATGATGAAAAAAGTTAAAGCAAAGTATAAAATATTGTATAAAAGTGGTTTAAAAATTGCCCCAAATAGCTGCTATTTTGAGAATTAGATGACTCTGGACTCATTCATCGGCTCTGGGTGTCGCCTTGTCCTCTTCTCTCTCTATCACACCCTCTACTTTCTCTCATCTCTATCCTCTCTCCCTCCCCTCTGCCCTCTCTCTCTCTTTGTGGGCTCCTCTCCCCGTCCCCTCGCTACCCCCTTCTGTCTCCTCTCCTCTCTCTCCCTCCCCTCTGCCTTCTCTCTCTCTTTGATCTCCTTGCACCCTACTCTCTCCTCTCCTCTTTCCCCCTCTCTTCTCTCTCATCTCTCTCCTCTTTCCCTTCTCCCTCCCCCTCTCTACCCCTCTCTCTCCTCTCAGTCGCAGCCACACTGTGTTTGTATAAGTATGTGAAACATCTTCTCCTCCCGCGGCTCCTCCGTCTGCAGCAGGACCTCGCAGTCTGAGCCGGACACTTGGATGAACCAGCCGCAGTGCTTAGCCGACTCGAAGGTGGTTTTTCCTGTGGGCTCGCTCTTCATGTAGAACACAAAGGACAGAAGGTGCTGGTCACTGTTGGAGATCTTCTTCAGGTTCTTCTTCTCACAGAACTGCAACACACCACAACAGTAATTGTTTAACGGACCAGACTCCCCGACTACAACCCTCGGCTCACAGTGCACAGAGGGAGTCCGGTTTGGGGATCACATGGCACAGATGGAGTCCGGTTTAGGGATTACTGCTGGCCCTGCGACCCGGCAACGGATAAAGCAGAAGAATATGTATGGGGTCATTTAAATCAGTCACAACGGTTATTGTTATGCTTGTGTTCTGACATTTACCCAGTAAAAAAACAGAACAAGATTTTTTGACCTGGACTTTGAGCAGGACTCTGTCTCCGTCGGCACAGCTCATGAGAAAGCAGTTGGAGTTGGTGAAGTTGAGCACCACCGGGAGACCCCTGGGGTCCAGATTCACTGACCGGTAGTAGTAGATGGTCATCCGCTCTGGAAACAGGCCTTTAGATTAGTGTATTTTTTCAGATCCTTTATATTTAGGTGTAGTAGTCTGTAACAGTTGCTGTTGCAGGAGGCTCTAAGTGACATTTATGAACCTTTATTAACATTCCTGGAGTTTGGTCATCCCGATCCCTTTTGGACCAAAGGCTTTATGTGTTATTTATCATGGCATTTCCTGTGTTAAAACGGTTTGATTTTTGATTTTCTCAACTGTTGTTGGCGAATCAACAACTTTGTAGTGTTCTCCGAGATGACTGCTGTTTTATCTAAGTGAATATAAAAATGAATTGAATCTTTTCTGCTCCAATCTACAACAAGGCAAGTTTAGGTGAGTATATTTGAATAGCATAGTTCATACACAAAGCAACTTTTAACTCTATACAAGTAGAGTAGATTTAGAGTAGGGTAAGGGTGGTGGAAACAGGGCTTTTACAGCAGTGAAATTACAGTCGGTAAGGGCCCTGATGACCATGGGTGACTGCGGTAGACCCGGACCTGGTTTGTGGGACACGTAGGCTCGGCTCTGATCGCACAGGGCGCGCAGGTACATGTGACTGCTGTGCTCCACCTCCACCTCGTTCCCCTTCAGGCACTTGAGCGAACCACTTCCTCTGGAAACTGCAACCAAAGCAGAGGAACATAGAAGAGGGGAATGACTGATCATATGATCAGTCATTTCCCTCTTCTATGTTTGTGACAGTGTCTATGTAAATGATTTTCCCAGATAGGACAATAAAGGTCTATCTATCTGTTTGAGAGCCTCGTGCTCGCCTAACTAGAAGAGGCAAACCAGTAAAATAAAGGATTAGTACACCTCGGAGAAGGACTCACAGAACTCAACCAGAGCCTCAAGAAGAATCAAAGGAGAAGCAGGTAAAAAATTTGAGCAATAGCATTATCTCCAGCACAACCAGAACTTTGTCTCTGGGCAGAAGACAGGGTTTACAGAGGAATTCTTCAAGAAGCAACAAAAAGATCCACAGTGAGGAGGCTGAAACCAATCTTGAGGCAGAGGTGAAACAAGGGGAAGTAGAGACAGATTCAGTACCAAAGTCTCCTGGCCGGGGCAAGACCCCGGTTAATAGGAAATGGCAAAATCGACTCAAAAAGGCTGTTTGAGTTGTCTCTGATCAGCTTCTTCCTACTGCAGTGTATGACAGGTTTCATGAAAATAGTAATGTTACTCATTGGATGCGGTTAGTTCTAAAACCCTGCTTCGATTTCAAAAGGTTTTAATGGTGGGTGTGATCTGACCAAGCGTGATGGTGCTGGACTCCGCCACCACCACCACGTCGTTGTAGTGGCACTGGGCGTCCCTGCACTCGTGGCAAGGCACTTTGGGGTCGCAGCTCCGGCCTTTCACCACAGAGATGGTGGTTTTCTTCATGGTCACAACCAGGAAGTCAGCCTCCCGCTCCTGCTCTTTGCATGTGCCCTCTTCATCTGGAAAAATATCAGAAAACATCATAAGCATTAGGCCTAAAAGTCACTTTATTATGATACTGCCATTTTCAAAATAAACTGGTCCCTGGTTTAACGCTGGGGTGATGTGTTCTAAAAATGAGATATCAAACCTATTGATTGTAGATCTGACTGCTGCTGCAGCTGTCAAAAGCTGTGCATACACTGTCACATAAAGCTACAGAGGACACAGCTCTGAAGGGCAGGAGCAGGTCGGTGGGCTACAGGACAAGAGAGAGACCAGAGAGAGACCAGAGAGAGACCAGTGAGTGAGACCAGAGAGAGACCAGAGAGAGACCAGTGAGTGAGACCAGAGAGAGACTAAAAAGAGAGACCGCACAAAGACCAGAGTGAGAGTCCAGAGAGAGAAATCAGAGAGAGACCGAAGTGATACCAGAGAGCAGTAGGTTTCCTCCAGGTACTCCAGGTTTCCCCTACCACTAAAAACATGTACAATAGGTCTGGTGCCTCCTGTACTGGCGACCCCGCTCCCATCTCTGTGTGAAGTGAGAGACAAATGCCCAAAAATAACAATTGTAAACCTTTGTAGACCTCTGGTCTGTGAAAGGCGGTATATAAATAAAGATTACTTACTTACTTAAATAAAAGATTACTTACAGTGTTGGGTTACTTTAAAATGTAGTTACTTACTTAAAAGTATTTGGTTCTTTTATGCCAGACAATACTAAACTGTTGTTAGTTACAATTACAAGTTATTAGGGACATTACCTACAATACTTTTGGATTACTTTGAGTCACCAAAAAGAGAACAGAATCAAGTTTGTATGTTTGATTAATTAATGACATTTATATAAAGGTCAACTACAAATAAGTTGTTTAAAACTGGTTCAAATGTCAGAACATTTCCATGAGAGTAAATGACTATAGAAGCAGGGCAATTCTGCCTGTAGCACTTCTCCAGAATGTTTTCAGATGTTTTTCTGTTCTTGTTCTTTCCAATTAATCCAATTGTATTTTATGTCAAAAGTTTCTGAAAGACTTCTCCGATGTGGGATGAATAAAGGTTCTCTTATATGATATATGATAAATGAACACAGCACAATATAAGATAATGAACACAGGGTTAAACTCTATACTAAACTCCAAACAAAAACTCCAAATAAAATAACATAACACTGAAACCATTGTGGCATAACGACTCCGTACCTCCCCCTGTGAGCAGGAGGGTTCCCTGTGCAGAGTCACTCTCTCTCCTCATCTCCAGACCGAAGCTCAGGACACGCTTCTCTTTGGAGACAGGAACCATCACGTCTTCATCATCAGCCACCTCTGGCTGTTTCTTACGAATCGTCTTATGCACCGTCTGCAAAAGGGACAAAAACAACAAGAGGAATTAAACATCTGATAGTCTGAGCTGCAGAATCTGAAACGAACAAATAATAATCTGAGGATAGGCAGGAACAGTATCCAGGTCATCATCAGTGAAATGCATGTTGACCTAGCATACCTAAATGTCAGTGGTGCAGAAGGGTTATGCACACAAAAGAGTGCTTCGCTGTAATTGGACAGACAGCTGGCCCCCTTTTCTGGCCTTGACCAATGAAAATAGATGTTTTGTACGTATATGTTTGTTTAGTATCCACTTTTTTCATGTACTGTGGATACAATCTATTATGAAGAGTGATTTGCAACTAGAACAGCAAAAACATGAGGCACCATCCAGCCATTATCTTCCATTTTATTCGTTGCCGTGCCGTGGGTGTAGCTGTCTAGGCAGAGACACCCCGCTCCACACTCACTTCCTCCAGCTCATCCAGGGGAATCGTGAGGCGTTCCCAGGCCAGCTGAGAGACACAGTCCCTGCAGTGTGTCCTGGGTCTCCTCCTGGTGGGACATGCCCAAGAACACCTCCCAAGAGGCATCCAGCCACCTCAACTGGCTCCTCTCCATGAAGAGAAGTGTACTCCTGTGTGACTGAGCTGCTCCCACTCTGGAGGAAACTCATGTGGACCGCTTGTATCCACGATCCCGTTCTTTCGGTCATTGCCCAGAGCTCATGACCAGAGGTGAGGGAGGGGACAAAGAGCTCTGACTTCAGATGCTGCTCCCTCTTCATCACAACAGTCTGATATCTCAGAAAGACCTCAGCACCTAGAAAGGACGAAGCACCATTTTCCGTTCGAGCGTCATGGCCTCACATTTGGTATACCTTTTGATCTCCATTAATAATGCATTAATTTCGGATAAACAGTCTTGTAAAAGTAAATCTTCGTTCATTAAGTATTTTGTGAACAAATCAAAAGTCCAGGTTTGAGCTAGAGCAGATGCAGCCTCCTCACCAGCATGGGAGAGCCCTGGGACAGTACATGTGCAAGCTTCTCTGGAGACACGTCCTGTATGTCAGTGTCATTCACCAGCATCAGCTTATCCCCTCGTCTGAAAGACAAATACATCACACACATATATAAGAACAGGACATTTTGGACCATGCAGGAGGGTCTAAGGACAGTGATGATCCTTTGACATTTAAGGACATTTCTGGACAGTAGTGATCCCAATCCCTATGGACCAATGGCTCCTAGGGGCTTGTTATTGTTGCATTTACTGTTTGATTTTCTGATCTGTTGTTGGGGAATCCACAACTTTGTTTAGTCCGCCGAGACGACTGCTGTTCTGATTTAGGGCAATACACAAATACATTGAATGGATTTGAATACATCCCACTTATAAACAAACACGTTTAAAAGACAGATTTGACCTGAGGAAGTTTTTCTCTCCATCTGGTCTCTGAATCTTCATCACGTTCTTCACTTCATACTGATGTTTTCCGTTCGTGAGCTGGTGATTGAGCAACACACCTCCATCCACTGGGAAATCCTGGAACAGAACAGATGGAGAAAAACTAGGTCCATTCGCACTTCCTTGTTGGGCTTCAATGAGCTAGCGGGTCATCATTATACAGGCTAACAAAAAAATTAGTAAAGTGAATAAACAAAATGTGAAAGCTTTCTGGGACCAAAACTACTAATTTACGATCATTCCAGGCTAATTCTATTTTACGGCTAATTCCAGGTTGGACATAAACCCGTTTATGCTCTACTCTGCTATTCTCTACACAACACTACTCTACCTTAATCTACTCTGACCAGTACCAGGTCCTTCTTTGGTCCCTCTCACCCTTGGTTCTCTCCAGGCGGAGCTGGTATAAAGTGTTCTAACCCAATGATTGGCCAGAGTGCAGCTGGAAGCCATGGTTACCCAGGAATCTCCCCGTGGGTAAGTTGCTGGGAACTGTACCAGACACTAAAGTGAAATGAAATTTGTTTGTAGAGTAGAGTAGAGTAGAGCAGAGCAGAGCAGAGCAGAGTAGAGTAGAGTAGAGTAGAGTAGAGTAGAGTAGAGTAGAGTAGAGCAGAGCAGAGCAGAGCAGAGCAGAGTAGAGTAGAGTAGAGTAGAGTAGAGTAGAGCATGTTTGCGTAGAGTAGAGTAGAGTATGGCAAAACAGAGTAGAGTGGAGTAGAGTAGAGTATGGTAAAACAGAGTAGAGTAGAGTATGGTAAAATAGAGTAGAGTAGAGTAGAGTATGGTAAAACAGAGTAGAGTGGAGTAGAGTAGAGTAGAGTATGGTAAAACAGAGTAGAGTGGAGTAGAGTAGAGTAGAGTATGGTAAAACAGAGTAGAGTGGAGTAGAGTAGAGTATGGTAAAACAGAGTAGAGTATGGTAAAACCGAGTAGAGTGGAGTAGAGTAGAGTATGGTAAAACAGAGTAGAGTGGAGTAGAGTAGAGTATGGTAAAACAGAGTAGAGTAGAGTATGGTAAAACAGAGTAGAGTGGAGTAGAGTAGAGTATGGTAAAACAGAGTAGAGTAGAGCAGAGTATGTTTTCGCAGAGTAGAGTAGAGTAGAGTATGGTAGAGCAGAGTAGAGTATGGTAAAGTAGCTCAGACCAGGACAGAGCTCTTACCTCCATGCTGTTGTCTCTGAGGCTCCGTTCCAAAAAGTGAAGTCTGGATCAGTGTGTTTGAACTTAATTTCTGAGAAAACTTCTGCTTTTGTCTGAAGAAGAGGAACTGGTGTCAGATGAAGAGGAAGATGAGGAGGAGGTAGCACCACAGAGTCACTCACACTAAACAACAGGTAACAGAGAGAGGTGGGGAGCATGGCAACTCCAAGTCCTCTCATCTAACTTTGGGACTGTTTCTATTTCTATATTCACTTTATTTTTTTATCATTTGAAATGTGAGGAGTTCTGCCTTTGATATAGCATTTTTGGTCACTTGGCAACCAATATTCTAAAGCCCCTTTTCTCCAAGGTACTGGTCTGGGACTGGTTCGGAACGGCTAGGTTTGTGCTAGTAACCATAGCAACACACTGTACTATACTTATAACTGGTGGAAAACTAAATAACAGGGCAGGCCCTGGTTAGTCCTGTGATGTGTGTGCGTGTGCGTGTGTGTGTGTGTGTGTGAGAATGATTGATGGTGGTGGGAGGGGCTGATGGCACAGACTGGTTGCTTTGCTTCTGTCAGTGTACCCCAGGGCAGCTGTGGCTACAGTAGTTGTTCATCACCACTCTGTTTGGAGTGATTGAATAATGCTGAGAAGAGACCCTGAGGAGAAGCAAGTACAAAATCCCTAAAAACAGGAAATCTGAAACCAGTTCCTCTGTGTAACTGCCACCTATCTCTCTCTCTCTCTCTCTGTGGGGCAAACAATGTGACAACATGATTTCAACGAGAGATATCAGACCTACTCTGAGCGCCGCCGCAGCTGTTAAAAGCCGTACACACACTGTAATATAAAGCTGAAGAGGACACTGAGGGAGAGAGGGAGAAAATCAGGACTGAGGACTACAGGAAGACCAGAGAGAGACCAAAGAAAGACCAGAGAGGGATCTGAGAGGGACCAGAGAGGGATCAGAGACCAGAGAGGGAACTTGACTTCAAGTTCTCTCAAGAGAAGACGTATCAATTATGTCTTCTCTGTGAAACCATGTCTGAATGTGGGGTTTTCCTGTGAACTCAGGCCAAACAATGCTGTCATACTGGTGTCATACTGGCAACCGGTCATGGATTGTGTTACAAACAAATGTTTGTGGTTTTAACACTAGACTCCTCTCCAAAACGGGAGTCTAAAGACGCTGGGACTTCAAGTGTTAACTTCTGGTGTTAACAATAGAGGTCCCAGCATTTTTAGACTCCCGTTTTGGAGAGGAGAAGCTAACTTGCTACTTTGGTTGCTAAAGAGAGTGGTCTGTGAGACCACAGATACACATGTGGACAATGCATTTCTCAGAACAATTAGTGCACTTTCTAAAAATGAAAAGTTTATTTCTCAAAAGCAAGTCTTCGTGTCAATGAAACTGTGTCTCAGAATAATACGTCCTGACACCAGTGTTTAATAATAATAATAATAATACATTTTATTTGTGGGCGCCTTTCAAAATTCCCAAGGTCACCTTACAGGCAGCATAAAAACAATATACAACACACATTAAAATACAAAAGATACAATACAATACGAGGCCCAGAAGTAAAATACAGTAGAGTGGCAAAGAGATAAGAGAAGTACGGAGGATTATGTGGGATAGGTGCGTCTGAATAGCTCAGTTTTGAGTCGAGATTTAAATGTGGTGATGGAGTCTATTGCACGAGTGTCTTGTGAGAGATTATTCCAGAGTTTGGGGGCAGAGCGGCTGAAGGCTCTGAGGCCCATGGTGGACATTTTGGCTGGAGGGACAGAGAGTAGAGAGGCAGAGGAGGAGCTGAGTGGGCGGGAGGGTGTGTACGTCTGAAGGAGATCAGACAAGTATGGAGGTGCGAGGTTATGAAGTGCTTTGAAGGTGAGAAGAAGAATTTTGTATTCAATACGGGAGAGAATAGGTAACCAATGAAGCTGTTTGAGAATAGGAGTGATGTGCTGGGCAGAAGGAGTTTTGGTGATGATGCGTGCTGCTGTGTTCTGGACCATTTGAAGTTTATGGAGGGATTTGTTTGGTAGACCATAAAGGAGTGAGTTGCAATAATCAAGACGGGATGTGACCAGGGCATGAACCAGTGTAGCTGTGCTGTTAGGGGTGAGAGACGGACGTAGGCGGTTGATGTTGCGAACAACAGTCAAATGGTTTAGTCACGTTTTTATTGTGACTGTTTTTAGTGAGGTATTCTACGTCATGGTGCTACGTCCCTTAGGACTTCGCTAGTGGGATATCACTCGTGACCCCCAGGTCACGCGCCAGAGAGATCAAAATAATTTGCTCCAATCACCAGCGACCCTCCTCTATAAATGCCCCTGCACAAGGCCGCACCCCCCCTTTCACTCTGGCGCCGTTTGAGATCTACTACAGTACTTACTTCATTCTGAGATGTCTTCCTTGTTCGTCCGAGTTCCCTTCGCCCTCCAGCGTCGGACGTCGTTGCTGGATCCAGACGGTGGAGGACTTCACCTCTGTGGGTGCCACCACTCGAGGAAGGAGGAGGATGCAACCCACGTTGTGCCCGCGGATGGACCCGTTCGTCCATTACGCAACACGTGAGTGGCCTAAGCCCCTAGCAGCCAAGAGGCCTGCTCTGGGGTACGACATGTACTGCAGCGGGCAGGACTGGTCCTGGACCGGTGGTGTCCCGGACATCGAGGATTCAGTCCGCATGGCCCTGCAGCCCTCCGCATCCGTGTGGCCCGGCACCAGACCTCACCTTCCCTCCGAGCGGGACAGGATGTCTTGCCGATGCTGGACAGGTGTTATGCCAATGCGGCTCAGGTCGTCACATTGGCTAACAACATGACTTTCATCACGGGGGCCCTGGATAGGTCGCTCTCCTCTGGCCAGGCGCTCAGTGGAGACCTCCTGTCACAGGCGAGGACCACCTCGGCGGCGATCCTGCGCATGTGCCAGACGCTAGCCGTGGATGGTGACCCGGACACCGAGGATTCAGTCCGCATGGCCCTGCAGCCCTCCGCATCCGTGTGGCCCGGCACCAGACCTCTCCTTCCCTCCGAGCGGGACAGGATGTCGTGGCGATGCTGGATAGATGTTATGCCTATGCAGCACAGGTCCTCGCATTGACTAACAACATGGCATTCATCACGGGGGCCCTGGATATGTCGCTCTCTTCTGGCCAGGCGCTCAGTGGAGACCTCCTGTCACAGGCGAGGACCACCTCGGCGGCGACTCTGCGCATGTGCCAGACGCTAGCTGTGGATGGTGGCCGCTCCATGGCAGCAGCCCAAGTCGGGGCCAGGCACCTTGGCTTGGGCTGGCTAATATCAGGGAGGCGGAGAGGAGGCAGCTGCTGGACCTGCCTATCTCCCAGACGTCCCTTTTCGGTCCGGACATGCAGACCCTGGTGGCTAGACTGGAGACCGCAGCCAAGGACTCGGCTAGGCTAGCCCAGCACCTAGCGCCGAGGCGCGAGGCCCGCCCGCCAGCGCGGAGCCAAGACACTACTGTCCCATACTACACAAACACAAACTTCTCACTCTCAATAACATGGTGAAGTTCTCCAATCTCTGTCTGGTCTATAAAATCCTTCATGGTCTTTCATCCCCACCTCTCAGTCAGTTCATCAATACCAGAAACAGCACCCACACCAGGACCAGGGGGGCAGCGAGAGGGGACTGTATCACCCCCCTCAGGAAAAGCACATTTGGTCAATCTTCATTCTCCGTCCGTGCCACCTCAGATTGGAACCTCCTACCCACAACTATCAGAAATGCACCCTCTTACCTCACGTACAAAACACAGTTAAAACACTGGCTCATTGATAATCACACCTGTCAGCACTGACTCCGCCTGCTCTCGCTGCCCCCTGCTGGCCGCATGCTCTGTGTGCGCCTGTATGTGTTCTGTGTCTGTCTCCATGTGATTGTGTATTGTTGTTTGTTGAACGACGTGTGACTGAAGGTTTTCATGTCTTGTCCTTGTAAATATTGTAAATGTCTCACACTATTTTAACTGTGTAGCAAACATGTTTTTATCTTTTCAGGAGACATGGGACTACGGATGAAAAATAGCCGTTTGGCTAATTCTGGCATATTTACAGAAATGTTCATTAATATGCACTGTCCCAGTAATAAATAAATAAATAAATAAATAAATAAATAAAGAGGCAGGGAGCGTTCGCCCGGGAGGCGCCCTGGCCCATATCCACGCTCCATGACCTATGGTCTCCCCTCGACGAGGCCCCCGGGTCCAGACAGACACAAGGGAGGCTCGCGGGACCAACGCACTCACCGCCGACCTCCCTATGGCAGAGGAGGTCGGGGTGGGAAGAATTCTTTCAATAAAAGCCGACCGGCATTTCATCAGTACTCGCTGTCTGAGTCTCATTTGGGGGTATGTAACATGTCAAATGATCTGAATTCTGATTGTGTTACTTATCGAGCACATAACGTGGCTTCGCTAGGCCTGCAGCCCCCAGAGAAGGGTGTGCAGTGTGCTACGCGGGCCACGGGCTCCGATTCACTGGTTCATGCTATGCCCTCCCAGAGAGAGGTCAGGCGGAGGGATCTGGTGAGTAATGATGTGTGTGCTTCGGCCGAACGCGTGTTAGCATCGCTGAGCTACAAGGCTAACACGGGGTTTCCCACTCCAGGGGCTCGCCCCCCCCCGCCATGAGGCAAGAGCCAGGGGGGGGCACAGCAGCCGAGTCACGTGTGGTGAGCAGTCCTGTACTTATGACGTCGGGCCTGCAGAACACGTGACCGCCCCCGGCTGTACTCCCCTTACTTCTTAGTGCCAAAGAAGTCAGGCGGGGTGCGTCCCATTCTGGATCTGCGCGTGTTGAACGAGTGCATTTCCAAACGGCAGTTTCGGATGCTGTCCACAAAGCAGCTCCTCGAGTGTGTCAGGGAGGGAGACTGGATGACATCCATAGACCTGACAGATGCGTACGTCCACGTGCCCATAGTGCCAGAACATAGGAGGTTTCTGCGCTTCGCAGTGGGAGAGAGGAATTACGAGTACTGCCGTCTTGCGGCGGAGGCGGGTCCCGAGTGTGTCGCCTTAAGACGGCCCTCTTGTTGGCGTTGGCGTCTGCTAAGAGGGCGGGCGACTTGTGTGCGCTCTCTGTCCATGCGTCTTGCCTGTCCTTTGGAGAGGGCGACGGCATGGTGGTATGGTGGCCCAATCCGGCTTTTCTCCCCAAGGTCATCACGTCGGCCTTTAGGTCGAGAGTCATCAGGATTAGGGCTTTCTATCCGCCACCGCATGCCTCCCCCGAGGAGGAGCGGCGGCACCTTCTGTGTCCTGTCAGAATGCTGAGGCATTACCTGGCCATGACGTCGTCATTCAGGTTAGGTGGTCAGCTGTTTGTGTGTCTGGGCCCCAAGAACAGGGGCGCCCCGCTGTCGGCTCAGTGGCTGGCGCACTGGGTCGCCACGGCTGTGCGGCGGGCGTATCAGACGCAGGGTCTGGCCCCCCCGGTGGGCTTCAGGTCGCATTCCACGCGTGGGATGGCGGCCTCTACGGCCCTTCTCAGGGGGGCGTCGGTCGAGGACGTCTGCCGTGCGGCTTCTTGGGCGTCGTCCTCCTCTTTCGTCCGGTCTTATCTTTGGATGTGTCGGACCGGTCGGGGGCCCATTCCGTGCTGAGTGCAGCGGACTGAGTTAGACCGTTAGGTCCCTCCTCTGAGGGGGCCTTCGGTTTACTTTCCGCCCTGGTTCAGGAGCTCTTGGGAGAGGCATCCTACAGGTGCGGTACATATATGTGTGTTTGGTCGGTCAGGTAGTCCACGTCAGGAGCCCTTGGGAGAGGCGTCCTGTGACTATGGATGACCTACATCTGTGTTACGTGGGGGTATCCTTGGTAGGAGTGGCCCTGTAACACGCATTGTTTCTTCTGCCCTGAGTCCCCTCACTGTGTGAGGGTCTTGCTCGGGCGGAGCTCCAATCACCCTTCGCTGGCCTGCTGGGAGTACATGTTCCTACGGCCTTCGCGTTGTGTCCCACTAGCGAAGTCCTAAGGGACGTAGCACCATGACGTAGAATTAATAGTTACCTAATGTAACTTAAGTTCTACGAATAGGTGCGTAGTCCCTTAGCTACGAGCCCATCAGGCCAGCCCGGCTTGGCAGAGTTCAAGAGGGGGTGCGGCCTTGTGCAGGGGCATTTATAGAGGAGGGTGGCTGGTGATTGGAGCAAATTATTTTGATCTCTCTGGCGTGTGACCTGGGGGTCACGAGTGATATCCCACTAGCGAAGTCCTAAGGGACTACGCACCTATTCGTAGAACTTAAGTTACATTAGGTAACTATTAATTATGTATGTATGTGTGTATGTGAATGTGAATGTGTATGTACTGTATGCATGTATGCATGTACTGCATGTATGTATGTGTATATGTACTGCATGTGTGTTTGTATGTCTGTATGTGTATATGTACTGCATGTATGTATGTTTGTATGTATGTATGTGTATATGTACTGCATGCATGTTTGTATGTATGTGTATATGTACTGCATGTATATTTGTATGTCTGTGTAGTGTATGTCTTTCACATATTTACTGCACATGCAATTATCAATTCTGCAGCATTGTGCAACAACAATACAGTCACTTACGTGTCTTCACGTAGAACAAACATACAGAATACCTTTATGGTAGAACTGTGACAAATGTAAACAATAAAACATACACACTCCTCATGAGTGAAAGCTGAAATTCACCTGAATGGTTCAATTTAGGAAACATTTTCAGGAAAAACAGATAAAGGAATGAAATTAGCTTGGCAGATTTTGGTTTTGAACTAGTTCAACAATTTTGTATGTGATGACAACTTCCTTCAGCTAAACGCAGACAAAACTGAAATGATTGTCTTTGGTCCCCAGAAACAAAGAGAGAGCGTCATCTGTCACCTACAGTCTCTCTCCCTAAAACCTTCAAACAAGGTCAGAAATCTAGGGGTAATACTGGACTCAGACTTAAATTTTAATAGCCACATCAAATCATCAGCAGCTTTTTACCATCTAAAAAACATTGCCAGGATCAAAAACATAATGTCTAAAGCAGACTTGGAGATTCTTATCCATGCATTTGTCTCCAGTAGGTTAGACTACTGCAATGGCCTGCTCACAGGTCTCTCCAAACAGGCTGTAAAACAGCTGCAGTACATTCAAAATGCAGCAGCTCGAGTCCTGACTAGAACCAGGAAGTACGACCATATTAGTCCAGTTCTCAGGTCTCTGCACTCGCTTCCTGTGGCTCAGAGAATAGACTTTAAAACAGCTCTGCTTGTGTACAAGTCTCTCCATGGCCTCGCACCAAAATATATTAGTGACATGTTAGTCCCATATGAACCAGCCCGGACTCTGAGGAGCACAGGGACTGGACTCCTGTTAGTGCCCAGAGTCAGAACTAAACATGGGGAGGCTGCTTTTCAGATTAATGCTGCTAAAATCTGGAACAATCTTCCTGAAGATGTGAGACAGGCCTTCTTTCTGACAATGTTTAAGACAAGGTTGAAAACAGTTCTATAGCTGTGCATACAACTGAGGGATTGTATATTGTATATTTTTATCTTTATTTTTAATGTACTGTGATTTTTTTATGATTTTAATGCTTTCTTATTTTTGTTCAGCACTTTGAGTTGCCTTGTGTATGAATTGTGCTATACAAATAAACTTGCCTTGCCTTGCCATGACTCAAGCGATGAAATGAGGAAATTTGGTTTGATAGGGAATAACTATTCAGAAGTCCTATGTATGTTTTATTTTGACTGACAATTGTATGAAAGTAACAGGTACATGTTCAAAAGCATTTGAAATGTGTTCATAGGAGAAACTGCTACGATGATGTGCACAAATGACTCCATGTTGTGGAGGTTGAACTAATAGTTATGAGAACTTTCAGTTCAGGAACACTATAGATATAGACAGACGCTTAGACCAAAGTTACAGAACTCGAACCTTTTGTACTGAACCTAAAACACAGTCTAACAATTCCTTAAACAAAAGTACTGCTTTGCACTTTCTTTTTCTGCAACACACTTTCTCCAGCTCACTACACACATACATAAGACACTTTGCACAATCAATAGATCCACGACATGGACCTGGAGTTGTGTGCAGCTGCGCCACAAGAGGGCGTCACTGTTCTGCGGTGACACATGCTCACAAAGAAGAAAATCCGGAAGCGGCAGCTCAGGCACGTGGTGCGGGATTTGTAAACAAACATCTCCCTTTTGAGAATAACTTCCAGACCTCGGCACGCGTTTTATCGGTGATTCTGTGACTTAAGAATGGAGGCGCGAAAAAACGGTGAGCTGACGTGTTATTCAGATCAATGTCTTGGATTCACCAACACCAGATCAGAGAATCAAACGGTTCAAACACAGGAAATGCAATAATAACAAACACATAGGAGCTGTTGGTCCTTAGAGAGCGGGAGGATCACCGCCCAGAAATGTTAATACATGTACAGAAATGTCCCGGATCATCACTGTCCTTAGGGTTAGCATCAGCAACAACCGCTCAATAACCCAGTAGATCCTGGACTGAGGCTGTGGATCCTGGACTGAGGCTGTGGATCCTGGACTGAGGCTGTAGATCCAGGACTGAGGCTGTAGATCCAGGACTGAGGCTGTAGATCCAGGACTGAGGCTGTAGATCCAGGACTGAGGCTGTAGATCCAGGACTGAGGCTGTAGATCCAGGACTGAGGCTGTAGATCCAGGACTGAGGCTGTAGATCTAGGACTGAGCCTCAATCTTAAAGTATTATTACAGTATTATTATAATTAGTTCTCACAAAATCCCAGGACAGAACTTGACTATATCTTCAATGCTTTAAATTCCCGTCATGTCACACTCACTGTTCTCCATTGATTTGTGATAATGTATAATAATAATAATAATGGATGTATAGAACATGAGGTGTGACGTTTGATTGTGACATATAAGGAAATGGCATGGTACGTAACTTTCAAACCACAACAATGATATTCTGTCACTATTTATTTTGACTTATTTATTTATTTCAATAAAAAAAGATAGTGACAGAATCCCATACTGTCACTAGTTCATATGAAAGCTCTTTGTATAACAGAGTATCAAACATTTCTACATTCTCACTTTCAGTCTGCAGCTGTCTTGTGTGTGGGTCCGACCTTGGCCTCAGTTTGATCCTATCTAAAGTCTCAGGTCAGGAGTGGTTCTGTAGATCTTATCTGACCCTGTTTGGCAGAGGAACAATAGTAGTGATGGGTAAATGAAACCTCACGTATCGTTTCGGCACATCCAACGAACTGTGTTGATACTGTGCCGCAACAGTGTTGCTTGTGCTGCTCTATACTGACACCTGGTGGATCTGATAAATCATTGCATCCAACTCACTGATTCAATGAGCTTTACATACTTGTCTGCACACAATATTACGTAACTGCATTGTCTGTGTTATTTTATTTTATGTGAAAATTAAAGTGATAGTTGTGAATGTATTCATTAAGAAAAATGTCATTGAGTGATGTTTTTTTTTGTTTTTGTTTTTTCAAAACAATAAGCATGTCCAAAGTGCACTGTAAACCCTGGCAACTAAAGTATACTTGAAAAAACCTTTGACATTTTCTGCACTTCAATTTCTCAAAATTATTCTTAAAGACTGTGATGTCAACATAAACTTTTCAGGTCCGACAGGGATTCGCACCCGGTTCTCTCAAACGCGAGGCGAGAGCGCTATCCACTCATCCACCATGCCTAACTAGATTTTGCGTTTCAAACTAAACCTTGATTGTAGATAAAGCGTGAAATGTGAAATACAAACATTGCCTTATTTGCTGTTATTTGCAGTATCACACTGCAGAATACTTTCTTTTAGTTGCAGGTTCCATTTTTTATACTGTAAAATGGGGTGCTTTTCCTTTTTGAAAGGGTTATTTTCTTTTTCTGAGAGCGGTTCATCCCGGTGACACTTGCAGATGCGGAACCTTTTAAACACAGTTTTCCGTGTCGGTGACAAGCGACACTGCGGCTGTATCGGTCACGTGGCTTTTTCATAAAGCGACACGCGCGCCGATACGAGGTTTCGCTAAACGAACTCGGCACATGCGCCGGTGTATCAGTGTTGCTGGACCCATCACTAAACAATAGCCTCCTTACACAAGTAGAGAATGTTACATAACTGTTTAAGAAGATGGGAACATTTGTGCATTTATTCTTTCAAAATGCTGCAAGGATAATAATTGGATGTGTGTGTGTGCGTGCGTGTGTGTGTGTGTGTGTGTGTGTGTGTGTGTGTGTGTGTGTGTGTGTTTGCTAATGTATGGTCATGTCTCTACTTTTGTGTTACTGTCTGCGACCTCACCTTCTCGGGGTCTACAGCTAGATGAGCAACCTGGTTTTTGCTGTATAAAATAAAAGTACCAAATACATTTTTCTGTCTGAAAAAGCTGATTAAATGATTTGATTAAGTCCAAAAGCATGTTAAAACTAGTGATGGAAGCAAACAAACAGTTGAGAGAGTGATAAGAAGGTTGTATGCATGTTGTTACCCAGGCCTCCTCCGCAGCTTTCTTCTTTGTGTTGTTGTTAGCGGCAGAGGCCACATGGACTCGGCCTGTGGGACCGGTTCAGTCTGTTCAGTCAGTTCATAGACCATGTAATCATATCAGTTTCCGCAGGGCTCTTCACCGAGGCTTCAATTAGAGCTGTCATGATTTACCACCGCTAAAGCTGAGGCCTCCAGCTCACTGTCCTCGAGGAGCATAAAGACACACACTGTTCTCACCAATGCAAAGTTGTGTCAAGACTGTGTCCTCAGTCCTGTGTAACGTCTGAAAGCTTCATCAAAATCACATTAAAACCAGGAATTATTAGAGCTCCTCATTTCCAGACGATGAGAGGCTTTTGCTGTTGGCCTTAATCGTCAGTGCACCGCAACAATGACTGTTATTATTACTGTCAAATCCTTGTGTTTTAGCTTTGCGAGTAAAGTTTGTGTCCTTCATGTTGGTGCCTGGTGCTGGAGGATGTTCCTCCTCATTATAATAAGTCACAGATACAAATTATGAGCTATAAAACTATTCACAAATATTTGATCCACTGGTGTCCCTGGTCTCTCTCTGGTCTCATGCTGGTCCCTCTCTTTGGGCCAACATGTCTGGACACCTGGCTCCCCATGGACCTCATGTGTCTCTCATGTGTGTTTGTTATTATTCCATCTCCTGTGTTCGAACTGTTTGATTCTTTGATCTGTTGTTGTTAAATCCACAACTTAGTAAAGTCCTTCGAGACGACTGCTGTGATTTTTGGGCGATACACAAATACATAGAAATGTATATTCAGTGTTTTGTTTCTTTGGGGTTTAATTCTTTCTTTTACTTCTCAGAGGCCCCAGTGAATGCGCAAGTCCCTCAGGAGCTGAGCGGAGTGCTGGGGCTGAAGGTTAGTCTCCTGTTTTATCCTCAGAACATTATGAATTTTAGAAGCAAAGTTGTCTCAGCTTTTTGTTTGTGAATATAAAAACATAAGAAACACAGGAATAAGGCTTTATTAAGCTAAATTCATTATTCTTTGTAAATACAATACGTTTTAAATGACTATTGTGTCTGTTCCTTGGTGTCACGCCACCGCATTAGGGCTGGGAAAACGAAATTCGATATTAGAATATAAAAATAAGTTAAAGACATTCGAACGAATTTTAGACAGCCCTTAATATTCGATTATTATGCTAGCATGGGCTTTGATGCTAACGGGGTTAAGCTTAGGGCTTTTTGTGTCAAGTTCTCCACGAATGCAGCTCTGCAGCGTCTCTGTGTTCGAGACCTACCTGAGACTTGATATAACAGCAGGATGTGTTCACGGAGCAAAGCCCGCTGCGCCACGGGTTTATTTTATTATCAGCCAGTACGTCTGTATCGGCGAACACGTTAGCAGCACTTGTTTACAGTCACGGCAGAATGAGAACTCAGGCTGGAGGCATATGTTCACAAGCACTGTGTCCCTCATTGTCAGTCCTGGTTTAGTCCTGGTTTAGCTCCGTTTTGGCTGTTTTCGAGAGTTTTGCTCTGATCGGCTTGTGTCCCCGTAACCTAATTGCGGCTCTCTGATTGGTTGCCGCACATATGGCCAGCGGAAAAAGGGTTTGCTTATTTACACCCAGTGAGTTTACAAGCATTTATTGTTTAAAATAGATATTCTAATATATTTACATTGATATTAATAAAACAATTAAATTTGATGTGAAGTCCCCGCCCTACACCGCATTAGTGTGACCCAAGCTCTCTCTCTCCCTCTTTCTCCCTCTTGAAATTGGAGCTTGAAATTGACAACCTATCGTATTTAAAAAGATCTTTCATTTGTATTTGAGTATTGTGTCTGTTCCTTCGTGTGACATCAATCCATCGCATCAGTCTGACCTGAGCATTGTCTTCCCACAGCCTCTCGTTTGGTCCAAAGCCAAAGTGTTCACGCAGGCGTTTCTGAAAAAGAGCATTCCCAGCGGCTCAAAGTCCGACGTGAAGGAAATCCTTTCTCACAAAGCCCTGGTTCTGGAGTACGGCCGCAAAAATACCAAATGCAAACAGAAGAAAGCCAAAGGACTCAACGCCAAACAGAAGAGGGACCTGAAGATCTTTGACATCAAACCAGAACACCAGAAGTACGTTTGAATTGTATATAATCATAGTATTGATGTTGAGTTATGAGCATTCAAGATGGTTATACAGTGGTCCCTAGTTTATCGCAGAGGTGATGTGTTCTTGAAAAATAGTCCTGCATTTAGTGAAGTCCTTGAAATAGCAGCTATAGACCGGAGAAAGACCGGAGAGAGGCCAGAGAGAGGCAAGAGAGAGAGGCCAGAGAGAGAGGCCAGAGAGAGAGGCCGGAGAGAGAGGCCAGAGAGAGGCCAGAGAGAGAGGCCGGAGAGAGAGGCCGGAGAGAGAGGCCGGGGAGAGAGGCCGGAGAGAGAGGCCAGAGAGAGAGGCCAGAGAGAGAGGCCAGAGAGAGAGGCCGGAGAGAGAGGCCAGAGAGAGAGGCCAGAGAGAGAGGCCGGAGAGAGAGGCCAGAGAGAGAGGCCAGAGAGATGGCAGATTGTTGGAGCAAAATAAGTTCCGTTTCCTGTAACAGTGTGATGTCATTGTTACCATTATGATGTCACTCTCAGTTTTCCGCCTTTTTTAGAATCAAAATGATTAGTTCTAGTATTTCCTGAAGTGAAATTACGTTCTTACAAGTTTTTGCTGCCTCCCTCTGGTGGCGTTACAAAAAGATATAGACAGAAAGCATTTTTTTCGATTCCCATTTTTGATGTACATGACATTTGTTCCTTTATGTGATCTGTGTTTTCATAATCCTGTCTTTCTTCAATTGTAGATACGAGCTGTTCCTTCCTCTTCACGATCTCTGGAAACAGTACATCACTGACCTGTGCAACGGCCTGCAGCCAAACACGTGCGTTTGTCCAGACAATATGAGGGTTTTTGGGGGTTTTTTGGGTGAAATTTTCAGTTTCAGTATAAATCATATTTTGGAATATAGACAAATTACTAGAAAAACTATTCTCATAAACGTCATAATTACGTCAAACAAAAGAAAAAGACTTTGAGGCGTTACATACAGTATGTTTCATATACTGCTCTGCTCTGTGCTCTCAGGGGCGGCTGTAGTGAGTGATGCATCCTGGGAGTCCTCTTGCTGTTGTGTGCACCTGAATCATTTAGAACTCAGACACAAGTCTGGAAACTCACATACATTTAGGAACCAGTCACAGAACGGGGAGGGACCACAGATGTGTGATATTATGTGCAGGCTGTTTCTGCTTAAACCTGTCACCTCATGGACTAGAGGCTACTCGTGGTACTGCGGCCTAAATCCTGTGGTCTGTAAGGAGATTTCCCCTTACAGACCATGTCTCTTGTTCTGAAATCCATCCATTGGTTATCCATAAATCCACACTTTAGTGCCACAAACCTTTCTCGCTCTGATCTGTGTCAGACTGTTTAGTCAGAAAATTCATATGTCCCTCTCTGATCTCTCTGTCTCTCTCTCTGGCTGCTCTCTGGTTTCTCCCTCTCCAGTCTCTCTCTCTAGTCTCTTTCTGCAGTCTCTATCTCTGGTCCCTCTCTAAAGGAACAATATGTCTGGCCAAAAGTGGTACTGCACCCTGGGTCAGGTTGCCAGATATGCAGACAAATCCATCTGGGACCATATTACTTGAATAGACAAGAGTTTTGTTAACAACAAATCTTTAACCAACACCTTTTTCACAAAGACCCTGATAGAAATCCTTGCTTTATTCCTTGTTTTGTCATTAATGATTTGAGAATCATAACAAGACCTTTTTTAGTTCTGCGGCCACATGTTACTTTACTAGTGAGTTTAGCTTGACACGGTGAGTTCTGGCAACCCAGATCGGGGACTTTCTGATTGGTAAAACGGTGGATGGCGGGACATCGAAATGAAAACAAGAACAAGATAAACTCATTTTGAAATGTATATATCCCATGGATCTATTATAATAACTGGATAGGGTATTACTAGCTTGGAGCTGAATAACTCATGTGCTCAGGGGATTCTCTCCGTACTGCAGACTGAACCAGACTAAATTCACGTGGGCTACCCAGAAATGTTCCCCATAGAACTCAATGCATATTAAAACAGCTCAACCTCAGCTGACAGAGAACCTACAGCTTTCATAAAGGTTTGATTTTGTGGGGATTTTAGTGTCCCTTGTCATTCTGAACTTTTTTTCTTCTTAAATCTTTCGGTTTTGTTTAAATCCACACTTAGTGCCACAAACTCTGCTCGTCTGGCTTTTGCTCTAACTCCCGCTCTGATGAACTGCTCTGATTGGTCAGAGCGCGGCAGAGCCCCTCTGTGCACGTGCGTGAGACCCGGTGTGAGACCCACACACGCGTGTTTGGCGCATTATGGGAGATCATCCACTGCGCAGAACCGGGAGGACCAGACGATGCCCAAATACAGGCGAGTTTCACATAGATCTTTGCGAGTTCCAGGCGACTTCCGCTAATCTTTCAGCCCCCATGCTGTCACAAAGCGCCACTGAGCACAACCATTCATTTGAATAGGGCGCCATCTTGGATCGCCGGGGCTTGATATATCCCGGCTGAACTGCTGTTATCAGTTAAAGAAGTATTGGAAAATATCATGGTTTTTTAGGGCCATTTAATGATGACTTGACCTGAAATTCTTACATATTGCTACTTTAAAGGTTGGTGAATCCTGGTCTATGGTACAAACACGTACATTTGTTTTTCACAGAAATCCACAGTTGGTTCAGGGGAAACTTTTAAAGGCGGATCTCCACGGTGCAATCATCAAAGGTGTGTGAGTGTGTGCATGTGTCGTTGTCCCCTCTTTTGGGACTAAAAAAGGCTTCATTCATTCATTTGTTCAAATAAATGATAAGATTTGCTGATCTGAGAGATAAAAAACTAGTAAATTAACTATGATCTGTTTTTTTTGCAGTGGTTCGTTCCAAATGCGCAGCATACGTCGGCCTAACAGGGATTTTGATTCAAGAATTCAAACACATTTTCAAAATCATCACGAAAAAAGACAAATTAAAAGGTTTGAGACATTGTTTTTTACACCTCTCCCTGATTTCTCACAGGGGTGATGTGTTCTAAAAATAACCCACAAGGAGCAGCTTCAGTAGAAAGTGATTCATTCAGGATCATGTGTTATATTCTTGAATCCTTTGGGGAGCTACCTCTAAGGGGGTGGCGAGCTACCGGTAGCTCCCCCGTCACAGTATGATGACCAGAGAGTGGGAGACCAGAGAGTGGTAGACCAGAGAGTGGGAGACCAGAGAGTGGGAGACCAGAGAGTGGGAGACCAGAGAGTGGGAGACCAGAGAGTGGGAGACCAGAGAGTGAGAGACCAGAGAGTGGGAGACCAGAGAGTGGGAGACCAGAGAGTGGGAGACCAGAGAGTGGGAGACCAGAGAGTGGGAGACCAGAGAGTGGGAGACCAGAGAGTGGGAGACCAGAGAGTGGGAGACCAGAGAGTGGGAGACCAGAGAGTGGGAGACCAGAGAGTGGGAGACCAGAGAGTGGGAGACCAGAGAGTGGGAGACCAGAGAGTGGGAGACCAGAGAGTGGGAGACCAGAGAGTGAGAGACCAGAGAGTGAGAGACCAGAGAGTGAGAGACCAGAGAGTGAGAGACCAGAGAGTGAGAGACCAGAGAGTGAGAGACCAGAGAGTGGGAGACCAGAGAGTGGGAGACCAGAGAGTGGGAGACCAGAGAGTGGGAGACCAGAGAGTGGGAGACCAGAGAGTGGGAGACCAGAGAGTGGGAGACCAGAGAGTGGGAGACCAGAGAGTGGGAGACCAGAGAGTGGGAGACCAGAGAGTGGGAGACCAGCTGGTCTGTGGCTAATGTGTGTTTGTGCTCTGGCAGTGATCCCCAAGAGGCTCAGCGTGTTCGAGATCGAGGTCAACGGTTTCGTGTCTCACATTTACGGCAGCGGAATCGAACAGCGAGCGAGCGAGCGGTCGGCCAAGAAGTTCAAATACAAGGGAGCCATCGACCTGTGAGGAGGAGCAGTGAGGAGGAGCAGTGAGGAAGAGCAGTGAGGAAGAGCAGTGAGGAAGAGCAGTGAGGAGGAGCAGTGAGGAGGAGCAGTGAGGAGGAGCAGTGAGGAAGAGCAGTGAGGAAGAGCAGTGAGGAGGAGCAGTGAGGAGGAGCAGTGAGGAGGAGCCATCGACCTGTGAGGAGGAGCTGCCTTTCAAAGCTTCAGTGATCACATGTGAAGGAGAATGTCAGGAAACTGTCTTTTCCTCTAAAGGATTTTTCTTCAAATTTCATTTTGATAGACTCAACTCGACTCCAATTTGGAAAATGTCAGATAACCTTGTTGTTGCTATAAACATATTTTTTGCTTTGAAATAAGTCAAGGACGATCTGCGGCTTTTTTTCCTCTATCACAATGGAACTAAATGCGACATTGCGTAATATTTTAATTACATAGGAATTGTTGTATTTGTTCCCAGATTACAGGTCCACATATACTGTATAACATTTTAAACTGGGGTTATTATCATTTATTAAAAACTCACAGATTTTCCTCATCACAGAGCTGATTGAGTCTCATTTGGGTTGCCAGTTTGTCAGGTGAATTTAGCCAGTTGTGGCTGCATCTTTTGTTGAAATTACAAAAAAAGCAGTACACATTTACAGTTTTTTCCTGTTGCTTGAACACTATAGACCAGGGGTCACCAACGAACGAAGAACTGTGTCTTTATTCACAGCATCACAGTTAAAGGAGTTGAAATAATGAGTCCATAGAACTATCACATAAACCTACAGTAGAAACATGTAATGAGCTCAAACAGCTCGGTTTGTTCATGTTTTTGTTCTGAAGAGGAGAAAGTAGCAGCGTAAATGAGACGGCTTTGGTTTCTAAACTCCTGTGAGATCGCCATCATGTGTGACATGATTTATTTAGAAATTTGAGAGTTGACTTTTGTATTTCCCATGAGTTATTTTTTGTACAAATAATACATTGGTTTTATATAGCGCTTTTCTGGACACTCAAAGACGCTTTACATGTCATTACTCTTTCACTCCATACACGGTGGTGATAAACTACTACTGTAGCCACAGCTGCCCTGGGGCACACTGACAGAAGCGAGGCAACCAGTATGTGCCATCGGCCACTCCCACCACCAACCAGTCACACACACATCAGACTCATTCTAGGCAATGGGGGTGTCTTGCCTAAGGACACAACAGCAGTTTGGTACTTTACAGCCGCAGCCGCCCCACTGTGGCACCTGGTGTTCCCAGAGGTTAAGTGTCTTGCCCAAGGACAAAACGACAGCAGACAGTGGGAGTCGATGGTGAAGGTCGGGCTCGAACCCACGACCCTCTGGCTCAAAGGCTCTACCAACTGAGCTACTGTCGCCTTGATAAAAATTTTAGTGGCTAACTAGTTAAAATGGGATATTGTGATTTCACAAGACTGTCTTAGAAGTGATCATTTGAAAATGTTCAATTTGAAAAATGTGCACTTAGAGAATATATAAAAATAAAGTGTTGCATATTGATATTTATCAGTTTCTTTCTATATATATTTATTGTGAGAAATTATTGTGATTATCAGTGTTTCCACAAAGACAAATATCATTAATTATTAATAATAACAGAGTTAAAGGTAAATTGAGCAAATTGGCTATTTCTGGAAATGTATGTAAGTATGTAACAAATTGGTAGCTCTTCGCTTTAACCCGAGAAGTAGCTCTTGGTTTCAAAAAGGTTGGTGGCCCCCGATGTAGACACACGCTTAAACCAAAGTTACAAAACCTGAAACTTTTGTATACAAAACCTGTGTTTTAGGTTCAGTATACTGAACCTAAAACACAGTCTAACCATTCTTTAAACAAAAGTACTGATTTGCACTCTACTTTCATTTTTGCAACACACTTTCTCCTTCTGCAACACACTTTCTCCTTCTGCAACACACTTTCTCTTTCTGCAACACACTTTCTCCTGCTCACTACACACTGTCATACATAAGACACTTAAATGCAATCCTGAGTTATCATTGGAAAAACACATCTATTCAAAATACCACACATTGGGCCTCATGTATGAAACTTGCGTACGGCCAAATCAGGGTGTAAATGATGCGTACTTTTCCGCATTTATCAATCTGGACGTGAGCGTGGGGCGAGAGTAGCTCAGTTGGTAGAGCATTGGCCTTAAGGCCAGAAGGTCGTGGGTTCATTTCCCACCTCTGCACCTTCTCCACCGACTCCCACTGATGACTGCTGTCGTTGTGTCCTTGGGCAAGACACTTAACCCCACTTTGCCCAAAGCCCACACTGAAAGATCAAGGCTATACTCACACTCAGAGAGCAGCCGCCCTCCTGTGGACTCACCACCTGCAGAGGGTCAGTGAGGGGCTGGTGCTATGAGACTTGGGTGGCATCTCTGATTGCCACCCCCCTGACCCAGAAATGGATTAAAGGGTAGAAAATGGATGGATGGATGGATGGACGTGAGCGTACGGTACGCACAGAATTTACACCAAGTCAATAGGTGGTGTAAATGTGTATGCTCATTTCACCCTTCGTAACAACACGCCAAAACACACATGAAATTCAAGATTTTGACAACAATAAACATATTCCCACTCTGGCAAGATTATAAACTGCGTTTTCATTGCGCATCATGTTTCTAAATTTGAATTTGCGCATCAGAAAAACACTAATGGAAACAGATCATGATGAGGAGCCTCTTCTGTTTCTATGATTTTAAATCTGACTTCTGTGTGTATTATTTTGATCTGTTTTTAAAATGTGAAGCGCTTTGTGATCCTGGACAGTGAAAGGCTCTATACAAATACACTTTACGCGACAGGGACGTGTGACCCATCTATTGCTTTGTAAATCTGTGGCAAGCCTGCATGCGTTGCGTGATTACGCACGGCAATCTGTTTTTCCTCATTCACATCTGGTAAAGCAATGTATTACTTCATAAGATTTGTGTAAGCCTCACACAGACACAGAAAAACGCACCGATGGATGGTATTGCTCACTCCAAATGTCTCACTGCCCTGTCCAGACTCACTGCTCTGTCCAGACTCACTGCTCTGTCCAGACTCACGGCTCTGTCCAGAGTGCGCAGCGGGTCCGTGAGAGGTCGCACCGCAAAACTCCTGTCATTCAGAAGTTTTGGCTCCAGAGTTTCTTTGTAAAATCTGGATCGCAAAAGCTCTCTCAGTGTACAATGCTTCAATGCGCACTTCTACCCCGAGCCAGGCTGCGTCCAAGACGCTGCAGACGCTTCATTGATGAGAGCCACCGCTGCAATATGAATTAATTAATTAATTCATTCATTCATTCTTTATCTATTCACTTCTACAATTCAAGAGAGATTTTTCTAATGTATCAAAACATTTTTGCAAATTTGTTCAAAACGCAGCTGAATATATAGCGTATATTTTTTACATAAACATGAACAAACAAACGTGCCTTTTGAAGCTTTCAAACAATCTTTTTGGCCGGCTTCCGTGCTGACCTGTTGCAAAAACGGGCGTGAAACACGCGATTGCTGCATAATTCTAGGCGTGCCTTTCATGAATACGTTCATTCTACGTCATGGTACTACGTCCCTTAGCGGACTTCGCTAGTGGGATATCACGTGACCCCCAGGTCACAGACGCCAGAGAGATCAAACAAAAAATGCTCCAATCACTAGCGACCCTCCTCTATAAAGGCCCCTGCTCCATAGCCGCGCCCCCTCTTTCACTCTGGCGCCGATTGAGATCTACCACAGTACTTACTTCGTTCTGAGATGTCTTCCATTGTTCGTCCGAGTTCCCCTTCGCCCTCCGGCGTCGGACGTCGTCGCTGCTCTTCGTGTCGGGTCAGGCTCCAGCGCACGGACCAGCATGCCAGCTGCTTCATGTGCCTGGGTTCGGGCCATGCGGCGTTGAGCGCTAGCTGCGCCTCGTGTCTCGCTCTCCCCAGGGAGGAGAGCGAACGCAGGCGCGCGTTCTTCGCCGCTGCAGCGCCCCCTCCGGACTCCTCTCAGGACGAGGAGTCTGAGATTGACTGGGCCCCACTCGACCTCCCGCCCCTGCCCGCGGAATGGGGTGACTGCGAGGTTGGAGAGGCTTCGGAGGACGGCTCTCTCCTCACTCTGGACGAGGTGGTGTCGAACCCGGAGCCGGACCGCTTTCCGCTGGACCACATGCCTGGTCTCTACTCCTCCGCGGCGGCCATCATGGATGCTCCTCTACACCGCAGCCGGTCCAGACGGTGGAGGACTTCACCTCGGTGGGCGCCACCACTCGAGGGAGGAGGAGGAAACAACCCACGTTGTGCCCGCGGATGGACCCAATCCTCCATTACGCGACACGTGAGTGGCCAAAGCCCCTAGCAGCCAAGAGGCCTGCTCTGGGGTACGGCATGTACTGCAGCGTGCAGGACTGGTCCTGGACCGGTGGTGTCCCGGACATAGAGGACGCATGGCCCTGCAGCCCTCCGCATCCGTGTGGCCCGGCGCCAGACCTCTCCTTCCCTCCGAGCGGGACAGGATGTCTTTGGCGATGCTGGACAGGTGTTATGCCAATGCGGCTCAGGTCGTCGCATTGGCTAACAACATGGCGTTCATCACGGGGGCCCTGGATAGGTCGCTCTCCTCTGGCCAGGCGCTCAGTGGAGACCTCCTGTCACAGGCTAGGACCACCTCCGCGGCGATCCTGCGCATGTGCCAGGCGTTGGCCGTGGATGGTCGCCGCTCCATGGCTGCAGCCCAAGTCGGGGCCAGGCACCTTTGGCTTGGGCTGGCTAACATCAGGGAGGCGGAGAAGAGGCAGTTGCTGGACCTGCCCATCTCCCAAACGTCCCTCTTCGGCCCGTATATGCAGGCCCTGGTGGAGAGACTGGAGGCTGCAGCTAAGGACTCGGCTAGGCTAGCCGGGGTGGTAAGAATTCTTTCAATAAAGGCCGACCGGCATTTCATCAGTACTCGTTGTCTGAGTCTCATTTGGGGGTACGTAACATGTCTAATGTGTCTGATTGTGTTA